CACCACAATTTCTTTGGCGACCCTGTGGAACTTGAACCGGTGGAGGATTTTCATCTCCTCGGTTTCAACATCGACCTCCCACAACGCACTATCACCTACATGCAACCTTCTCAACCCTGGAAAATCCGGGATTCCACCACCGCCGGGAGCCAGCGCTTGGCTCTATCAGGCCTCCAATCACGACTCCACACCATTCGAAAATACACATTTCCACCCTCCAGCGCTGACGCTGCTGCGGCTGAACTCGTGAACCTATATGTCCAAAAGGGGCATAATTACCACGCCTGCCACCGGTTTTTGAAAAAAGCGCCGAATGCGGCGACCTGTGTGTGTCCCACCCTGGACAAAGGGTCTTTCACCACAACTCGTTCCACTTTACACAGGCAGGGGCGTGTGGCACTCTCGCCCTACCACACGCAACGAAGCTGTGGGCGAGAGTGGGAAGCAGGGTCCGATCAACCCTGCGTACCTGCTACAACTTTTGAACACGCTGTCCAATCTTTTGGTTTGATTCATGGTGGTTCCACACGATACTTTCCCCACAAACAGGTTTCCCGCCGCAGCCTTCCGCCGTTCGTGCAGTGCAGCCAGCAGAGCGAGTGAAACCATGTTCAACATTTCAAATCACCGGACCTGTTCACCTTGCCGTTCCATCACCTTTCTTCCCATCGGAGAAATTGAGCTTAACGGAAAACCAGTGTCAAAGTGTGTGTGTGTGTGGTAGTGTGTGTCGCCAGTTCTCATCTTCCAGCTCCCCAGCTACTCCGCGCACTACAGTTGTACTACAAAGTCGCCAGTGCTCATCTTCCAGCTCCACAGATACTCCGCGTACTCAAGTTGTACTACCCACTCACCAGTTCTCATCTTCCCACTCCCCAGCTACTCTGCGTACTAAAGTTGTACTACCAAGTCGCCAGTTCTCATCTTCCAGCTCCCCAGCTACTCCGCGTACTAAAGTTCTACTACAAAGTCGCCAGTTCTCAGCTTCCAGCTCCACAGATTGCTCCGCGTACTAAAGTTGTACTAGAAACTCGCCAGTTCTCAGCTTCCAGATCCACAGCTACTCCGCGTACTAAAGTTGTACTACACAGTCGCCAGTTCTCAGCTTCCAGCTCCACAGATTGCTCCGCGTACTAAAGTTGGACTACAAAGTCGCCAGTTCTCAGCTTCCAGCTCCCCAGCTACTCCGCGTACTACAGTTGTACTACCCACTCGCCAGCTCTCATCTTCCCACTCCCCAGCTACTCCGCGTACTAAAGTTGTACTACAAAGTCGCCAGTGCTCATCTTCCAGCTCCCCAGATACTCCGCGTACTCAAGTTGTACTACCCACTCGCCAGCTCTCATCTTCCCACTCCCCAGCTACTCCGCGTACTAAAGTTGTACTACAAAGTCGCCTGTTCTCAGCTTCCAGCTCCCCAGCTACTCCGCGTGCTACAGTTGTACTACAAAGTCGCCAGTGCTCATCTTCCAGCTCCCCAGATACTCCGCGTACTCAAGTTGTACTACCCACTCGCCAGTTCTCATCTTCCCACTCCCCAGCTACTCCGCGTACTAAAGTTGTACTACAAAGTCGCCAGTTCTCAGCTTCCAGCTCCACAGATTGCTTTCGCGCGCTCGACGCGCACGTTCTCCGCAGAGGGTTGCGCGCGGACCGCGCCAATCGCACTCTTGCCTGCGTTTCGCGCACTCGACACGCACGATCTCCGCAGAGGGCTGCGCAGTAATTTTACAAATGGCACTCTCGCCTGCATTTCGCGCACTCGACACGCACGATCTCCGCAGAGGGTTGCGCGGTAATTTCACACATCGCGCTCTCGCCTGCATTTCGCGCACTCGACACGCACGATCTCCGCAGAGGGTTGCGCGGTAATTTCACAAATCGCGCTCTCGCCTGCATTTCGCGCACTCGACACGCGCGATCTCCGCAGAGGGTTGCGCGGTAATTTCACGAATCGCGCTCTCGCCTGCATTTCGCGCACTCGACACGCACGATCTCCGCAGAGGGTCGCGCGCACACCGGACGAATCGCGCTCTCACCTGCATTTCGCGCACTCGACACGCACGATCTCCGCAGAGGGTTGCACTTTCGGTTGACGCTGTTCGTCCCACCCTCCGCCTTTAAGAGAGAATTTATAAAGTGGGGAAATGTTTTTTCATTAGGACATCTCCCGTGCCAGTTTTCCATGCTCATTTTTTTCCATGCTCATTTTCCATGCTCACACTTGCCTACTCATTGCATGCTTGCATGCATGCTTGCATAGTCATTGCATGCTTGCATACTCATCATTACACTTGCATACTTTGATGCCTACTCATTGCATGCTTGCGTAGTCATTGCATGCTTGCATACTCATCATTACACTTGCATACTTTGACACTGGCATACTTCGCACTTGGATGCTTTCGCTCTTCCAGTGTGTGAGTGTGTGTAAGTGTGAGTGTCGAAGTGTAAGTGGTGAAGTGTAAGTGGCGAAGTGTCAGTGTTCAAAGGATTTTCCGGAAGAACCCTTCGCAATGCTTTCGGGAAAAAGACTTACTTTGCCCAAGACTTGACCCTCAGAAGCAGTCCTGGCCATCACTTGCAAGGCCGAGGGTCAATGTCAGGGTTCAAGATGGCAAAGGACTTGATCTTTGCTGCGCAGAACAAGAGGGAGACCCATGCGACCCGCAGTCACAGTCACAGGACAAATCAAAATAGAATATTAACTCGTCATCTCCCTTTCTTCCGATACACACCTATACCAAGATCTTCCAAGACCATAAAAAAAGAAAGCTTGACCAACATGTGTTCGGTGAAACATGGTATTTAACCCATGATCGTTCGGTGAAAGCTTTTAATCCTTTCGTTCCCAGGTCGAATCTCTGCGTGGTTTCTTGCTTCGCCTGGGCGCCGGACGTCGGTCACCGCCCGTGACGTTACGCCTCTGATGCGAGGATCAGCACCTACTTCCCCGGTCACCAGGACGGGTACGTCTTCTTGAACGATGCCGTTGCCTGCAGTCAGACAGTGACAACTTTTTGGATGCCGGGTGAAGACGGTTGATCGATGTTGATCGTTTCAGGAGGACATGAAGAGTAGGAGCAAGAGGAGGATTCTCATTACGTTAATACTATACATTGTTTTGTGTAGCCAGTGTGTCGTGCGCTGGATGAAGATGGTATGGTTCACCATCGGTCTTGTTTTCATCCATATCTAGATCTTCAATTTTTGGCGTGGATGGGTTCCGCATCGAGTTGGTGTAGATGGAGCTGGCTAAGTGGTTTCCATTTTTTTTGGGGGTTGATTGGAGCTTCTGAAATAAGTGGCCAGCTGTCACCATCACGGATGTTTATAGAATCCTGTAAATTGCCCGGGCATTTTCCATGATAACTTGTTTTATATAATTGTTTCTTGTGCAGCGCAATGTCGATCATGAAACGATGGGGCGGAACAGCTGGCCATCAATAGGTGCAGTCAATATCTGGTGGGTTGATGGTTTTTTTGTTTGTGGGTGAATCATCATACAATCAAGGTCGAATCATTTTGATGCGTATCACACTGATTTGATCTACTTTTGCTTCGGAACCTCCCCTCAGCCTCCGACTCACGCAGCTTCGACCAAACATCTGGACCCGATAAAACGTGGCCGCAGTGGCCGCAGTGGCTGGTCCACGTCCATGATCGACATGCCCTGCCACCAAGGCTCTGGGGGCTCACGAAGAGTTCGAAGATCTCAAAGTCCTTTGATCTGCAGTGGTGACAGTGGTGAAACGACTGGAAGGTCTTTGATTCGCTAAAAAGAACACCTGGCCCCATCAAGGAGAAACCACAAAGCAGTCTTTCTTGAAGTCCAGTCAACTCAAGTGGATGTCGGAGATCCAGGGAGATCCCCAGATCCATGGAATTTGAAGAGTTATATACATGTTTGACCATCCATGTACATATGGTTCCCATTGGTTCCCCATCCATGTCTGACCCATTTGGGTCCGTACCAACTGGCATCACTCGTTCAGTCAGCGGGGAATCTGAGTCCTGGTCACCCGGTAGCACTGGTAGCACCTCTCTCTGAGGCTCGTGCTTCGGTGATTGTGGAGGATCATTGGTTGGGTGAAAACGCCTTCATGTTGCAACAAGACACGAGGATTTTGCTAGGGAACACGCTAGCTAGCAGCTAGCAGCTAGCTTTGTAAAGGAAAAGTCTTTTGTCTTCCAGCTGTTTAATTCGGTCCCCGAAGGCCGACGTTGGGTTCTGCTTGTGAGGACTGTGCCGTTTTTTTCTCCACCGATTTCCACCAGGTCCTCGATGGGTGGCTCTACGTCTTACAGTACGATGACACCACTGCGACCTCGGTCGTGAAGCGCTATCCCCTGCAGCCGCCCAACTTCCGCTTGAAAGCCTTCGTCGAAAAGAGAGAGAGAGAGAGAGAGAGTGTCTCTGGCGAAGTCACACGGTGAAGTCGCGGGGTTTTCCGCGAAGTCGCGTTATGGGCAGATCTTTTTGGATGGTGGTTCGGGAATAGAGGAAAGGGTATGTCATGGTATGTCTGTCAACTTGTCCTTTCTCGGATGGGTGAACACCCTTGTTCTGAAGTCAAAGCGGGCCAAATCTTTGACACCAGGTCCATAACGCACTCAATGCACAGTACTATTACCATTGGATCCCAGTTGGTATAGTTTTAGGAACCAGGATGGAACTGGTCTACGGTCTACGCCGGTCTACGCTTTTTCAGTCTTTGGAACTGGTGACCGGCTCCACTGCGTTCGTTCTGCCCCCTTCACCAACTCGTCGGACCCGTCTTTGGAGCCGAAGTGGTTGGGACACTGCGTGTTGAAGATTGGATCGCAGAACTATGACTACTTAGTACGATCCATTCATATAGAACATTACTATATATATATATAGTTAGTACAGTATTGATTCTTGTTCCTAGTATTGGGACTGGAAGAGTTGGATCCCACTCTTTAAGAGCCCAGCCACCGTTGGACCGGAGCGGTCGTGCATTCCCAAGTCGAACGAGGAGGTGCTGGAACGTGTGCGCCAGACCCACGGAGCACTGCACCAGGAGCGGGTTGGAATGAAGCGACGTGTGTTTCTTTGGGTTTGAAGACGATCGTCACTAGTGACGAAAAGGAGCTTTTGGTGGAAATCAAAGAAGACAGTGTGTTCTGGATGAGAGAGTTTTCCATGGTTCTTCAAGATAAGAAGAGATAGTGGGGAAATCGACTCCTCCCAGAAACAGACTGAATGGTGACCAGTGGGAAAAGGAAGGGAAGGCTATATCACGAAAGGTAGCCCTTTAGGGGCCTACCTTGAGCTTGTCTTGCGAAGCAACTGTCGGCGAGTCCGGGTCGAATAATTGATTGCTCAATTCAACCCCCCTCCCCCCCCTTCGAAGAAGGAGAATTGATTTTTCAATACCGACCCCCCCCTTCTAAATTCAATTCTCTCCTGGAGAACGTCTTCGTGAGCCTCTCATGATTTCAGGATAGTTGAAATCCTCTTGAACATTCAGAAAGAGTGCGGCATATGAAATTCTAATCACGAACGGTGTTCCCCGAGGGGATACATACCTAGAGTTTGTTTTGTGAAGCACGTCAATTCTCTCCTGGGGACCGTCTTCGTGAGCCTCTTATGGTTTCAGGATAGTTTAAATCCTGTGATGCTCCGATTTAATGCTCACCGATGATCTGAGCCATGGGGCAAGTTTGTTTTCCTAAGAATCTTTGTGAACATTTCGAGAGCATATGTTTGAACATTAAGAGTGCATATGAACATATATTTACGGAAGGTCGCCTCCGAGGGGATAAATCACCATGTCGAACATTGCATTTTTGTTCCTGCCTCTCGCGTTCTCTTCCCGCTGTCCTACCTTTCGTGTCTCCCTCCTCTCAAGTATTATATATATATCGTTAAACCATGTTAAACCATGTAAAAACCCATCCAATCCGTCGGTTTTTTGGGGCGATCTTCAAGGATCCACCAGGCTCGCCGGTCGCGCTGCCGAGCCAGGAGGCCGGTCGAAGTGCCTCGAAGGCCTTCGGCCGGGTGAGGCGCCTGGTGCTGCAGACGAGGCAAGGACGAGCCACGCGAGGCATACCGGTTGGGCCAGTCGTACCGGTACGACTGGAGCGACTGGGAGTCGTCGTCACGAGTTGGACACCGTGGGTAGGTGGATGTGCATTGGTCAAAACACCTTTGCCCTCCCCAAGAAGCCAGTGAGTTTGGGTCCAGTCAACCAGTCTCAAGACTGGTGGCCCTTCAAGGACTGAAGGAGGGTTTTGGGTCCGGGTGTCATCCATGTTCATCCATTCCATGTATGGAAGAGGTACTTACATGGATGGGTCATTTGACATGAATGGGTCATTTGGATGCGATAAATCAATATAAATCATGGTACACATGGATGGCCTGGGATTTGTGGCATTGCACCATAAAAAGCGTTTGATCATGTTGATCCCTGATTATATATTTATCTATAGGGATCACGCAACAGACACACTGACATCGCAAAAAGACTCCGATTCTGTCTCAGGCAGTGCCATTAAGGGATGGAGTCTCAGTGGCGGGTTTCGAACAAAACGGAGGAAAGCGTCGAGTGATATCCCAGACGCGACCGGTGGGACTGGCATATACTTTGACCATTAGGGTGGTTTTTTCAAGGGGTCACCTGTGCCAGTCCCAGCGGTCGTGTTTGGATATGGTTTATGTTCAACTCCCAGACCATCCATGTGTATACATATCATACACTGACACTAGTTAAACCCCTGTTCTGAACTATTCCAGTCCCATGGATGGTCTGGGACTGCTCTCTATACATCGGATTGCGACCACAGTCCCTCCAAAGTCGCTGTTGCTCAGGGAGAAGCGGAGCTGGAGTCAGCTGCAGCAACTCTTGCGGAAGAGACGCGGCGAGGCGCCCGTTCCGGCGCCGTTCGCATCTGGGGACCACGCTGGGACGAATGCCATTGGACGTTCTATACAAATATAGTCCCACATGAAGTGGACATCACTGTCATGCCAGCTTTCATTGGAACAAAGAAATGGATACACAATGAGTCAACATGCTAGGAAAGTCCAGTCTGTTTGCGGATCTCAAAGTCAGTGGGTGAGTTTTTGGCTTGAAACCACACTTCCCACGTGGGCTTGGTGCATGCGGGTGGAATCCGGACCGGCAGATGGACTACACGGAAGTACCACGCAAGCGTCTGCACACCAAGCAAGGCACGGAAGTCAGTTTCGAAGGAGAAAAGGGGATGCGGGGGCCTTCAAAGACTTCTTTCAAGAGGAAAGCGGTTTAACGTGCTTGCATCATTCAAGATGATCAAACCCATATTGGCTTCTATTGAGGCACACCCATAACTCATTTCATCCTATTTCCACGCAACGAACACCACATGTAATGTGTTTCAGATTCTTTTCACCAACCAATGCTCAGTATCTCCCAGACTCACAGAAACTAGAAACAATTAGAAACATATTAGAAACAAGTTCTATCTTGCAGATTCAATTGGGTTCATCCATTTGGGTTCAAAAAGCTCCACGCCAATGAGCGCTCACCTTTAAAGCCACTCCGTGTGGCGGTTCACTACGGAAAGAGGACGCTTCTGCTTGCCTACCGCGCTGAAGTGACCGACAGGGCCCATTGAGTCCTCCGCATCACTAGAACGGATGTTCCGAACCCTTCCGCGTGTGGATATGCGGTTGGCAATGCAATGCCCCTTTAACCAACGCCTCGGGGCTGGGATACCGTTTGAAACACCGCGGAGGTCTGTGCCGTTCCCCGAGAGGGGTCCCATGTGTTTTGGACACCATCGGTTTCTGAAGCAGGAGCATCCTGTTTGGGTGTCGTGGCGGAACACCGCCCTACACATCCCTACACTACTTATAGGGATCTCCATTGGACACTCGTTGGATGGTCCAGGTTTCTTTTCTTGTCAGGTTTCTTCTTCAGGTTGAGGTGTGGCTTCTTGAGGCGCAAAAGGGAAGAGGATGTTCGGAGTGTACTCTACTTTTCTCCCATTTTCACCAAATTGTTGGGCAACACATGGCAACACCGTCATGGTGAACAGATTTCCACCAGACCAGGTGGCAGCAGTGAGAAAGCTCTTCGCAGTCTTCGATCATGTGCGTGTGAGGGGACCCCAAGCTTGATACAGAGCAGCTGAGAAGAGCGGTGGACCACAAGGCCCAAGAGACTGGAAGGCCAGGTTACCCAGGACCCTCCCAAGCAAGTGGCCATCGGATTCCAAGAGGAGGTACTGCTAAGACCACCTGTTGTCAGCAGCAAACATTGGGCAAGCAAGAATGTCCTTGTTCGGCCATGTCTCATGTCGTGTGTCCCATGGCGTCGATGGTCCAGGAGGGTCCAAGAGATGAACCAAAGCAACTGAGCCATGGCCGGAGACACTGTCTCTTGGGTCGATTGTGACTGCAAGACAGGGGGTCCCCAGTTCGTTCACGACGTGGATGACTGACGAAATGGCACTGCCAAGGAACGCGCTGAAAACGGCGAGCTGGAACCCGAATCAGGATTCGAGGGAATCGTGCACCATTTCTGGACAAGTAAAAGGTGCCAACTCGGCCTGGTGGTCCTTAGTTCGACACGAAGGAAAGAAGGCCCACGTTGCTCGGGTTGGGGACTCCGGATGTCGGGAGTCGCCCGCCGATGGGATCATGGCCCCACCCTAAGTGATCGGTCTGGCGGACTGGGGATCCAACCGCTAGGCCAATGCCACCGGGACGGAGGGTTCGTTTCGAAACCGATGTGAGAGTGATGTTGAAGAGATGGTTTATTGCTTGATAGATGGGTTTTGAAGATGGCACAGAGACCATCATAGACCCTTGGCTTTTGCATTGCCTTTGGTTTCCCAGCATGGCAACACAACATGGGATGAATGGATGGACGGACGGATGGATGGATCAGATTTGACTCAGCTGCACATTTGTTGGAGTAGACTTGCAGGAGGTTTGGAGGTGAATCCAAGGACATACAGTGAATCACCCTGACGAGTCGATGGAAGCCAGGGAAGAAAGCCAGCCAGTCTGAGGAATCGATTCCTCAGCCAAAGCTTGACATTTGGCGATGTTTTTCTCAGAGTTTGGGGTGATGTTTTTCCGCGCAGACTAACGACCCTGAGGTTTCACCCGAACTTGAAGACCATTTTCCCATATGTTTCCTCTACGGCCCAGTCGTTTTGGGAGTCCATGTGGTCCTTTGCAGGGTAGCTTGGCCAAGCAGTCTGACCTTGCCAAGCAGCACGGATTGGCGCTGGAGAGAGGAGAGACTGGAGGAAATGGTTCTTCCGGACTGGGGGGTCAATCAATGCTTGAATGCAGAATGCATGCATTCTCTGAAGAGGATGCCGACTGGATGATGATCTCCGCGCAGGTGATTGAAAGAGGACATAGAAAGCTCAGCAAACACCGTGTGATTTTTTTCATACGCAGTGACCCCCGACTCTTCTAGGCAGCACAGGATCTTAGAGACACCTCGCATATTGCGATTTGCACCACCAGTGGACCAGCAGATTCTGTTTTGCAAGTTTGTTTTGGAGCACTCGCCTCTTTGGCGCCATCCTCGGCTCTCAGCGAAACACATCGCCCAAACATGGAGAACAACCACATGGGTCTTAACCCCTGTGCGGGGGTCTGAATCCATGAAGATGAAATCACACAGAGCTTGGGTGAAAGGATGTTCAATTCCATTCTTCAAACACTTCCTCCAATCTCTAGAGCAGCACCTGGCGCGACTTATCCACTGTGCTTTCTTGGGGACATCTTCTGGTCTGTAGCAAGGAAGACACCGCCAAGGGACCAACAAAAATTGACCCAAAAAGCTCTATGGAACTCCAACTCGATATCTTTGCACTGAAGATTCACCTGGCAGGTCGATATACAGGCGACACAAGTATCTTTTGGGCTTTAGATGGTTTTAGATACCTTCAATGCCCACAGCCGACCTGTCCTCACCTCCCCGACCTGTCCTCGCCCACCTAGCTGCGCGAACGCGCGCCTTCCGCACGCGGGGATCGCGCGGTCAACGGGGTGGGCATAGCTCCGTCCAGCGCCGGCAGCTCAGTGGTCCAAAGACACGCTCGACCCTCCAACCACCGGGTAGTCCACCGGGTAGTTTGGGGTATCAAACATGTTTGATTTCCGAAGGCGTAGCGAAGGCTTCTCGTTTGTTTTGTTTCCAATGTTTTGTTGAGGGTCTCCACCAGCATTCGACGAGATGGATTATAATTAAGTGCTCAAGTTCTGGCCACGTTGCAGCCGCCTTTCGGAAGACACTCAAGATCAGACATCCGATTGATCTTTGGTGATTGACATTGAATATGTCTTACCCCTAAGAATCAAGGACCCTCAAAGGTGAAGGTTTTGAGGGTCCAAACCCCTGCTATGCAGGGTCAAAACCCTCCAGTTCGGAGGGTCCAATGATTCTTATAGGGACTAATACTGAGTTGGATATGTTTTATCTCGACTCAATGGTCCTCGTTTTGAGGACCCAAGGTGCTTTGGTCCTTCGACGTCCGAAAGGGCGAGGTCGGGCCTTGATCGGGGCCAACCGATCGGTTGCGGGGTCCAATGTAAAGCTTCCATACATGGAGTGTTTGGGGACATTGATTCCATGCAACATGCGTGTTTGAATTGGTGTTGGTGATAAAGAGACACCCTTTAGATCCCGTTGTTGAAGGGAGGAGACCAGCAAATCCAGCTAACTGAAGTCACTGGGAGAGTGGAATGCACGGCGAGAGAACATGACCACCTGACTTATAGTAGAAGGATCGCTGAACAGCTAAGTGGTTTTTCAGGTCTTGATTGTTTGATCCAGAATGACCCAGAAATACCCAGACACTGTATGTATGGCATATTTTACATACATTGGGGTGGTTTCAGGAGTCAATGTAGGCATATATACCATACATGGAGTGTCTGGGTACTATCCCGGGTCACATGCGACAGGGCTGCGACCACCCCAAACCCAGTCGGAAACGGAGCGAGGTGGTGACAGAGGCGCTCGGATGCCAGAGGCGAGATCAGTGAAAACCCACGCCAAGTGTTGTTTTGTTCATGTTTTTTCACTGTACAACGTAATACAAATCAATTACGTAATTGCAAGCATAGTATCATAAGCAATGATAAATAAGGGGTTTTCTGACATTCCAGGGTGGTTCACGACGGTGGTAAGAGGTCGTGATCCTTTCGAATTGTGGAATTACCTGGAGTTTCCGATTACCTCCAAGTGAAACATCTATTGTGCATAAGATACTGTAATATAGTAACTATTTATTTTCACACATAGCAGGACCTTCAACTTGACCTTTGGAGATCCCAGGGTCAGTTCACTGCCTGTAAAGGGGAGGGACAAACCATGGGATTGCCTGTACCGGGACGACCTGGACGGACGTCCGCACCGGAAGGCGAGAAGAGCTCGCTGCCCATGAAGGTGGGACCTGCCCATAGGGGGTTTTCGAGGGCGGTGACCGTGAAGGAGAGAGTTGGATAGTCCTACTAGAGTGGCAGAAGATGATGGGAGTGGATGAGGAGTTGGATGAGGATCTTTTGAGGGACGGAAAGTAACTCGTGGAGTAGTTGGATGAATAGTTGGATGAGGAGCAGCACGATTGCTTGTTTCACGACCAGTTGGACATGTTTGTTCCTTTCTGGTAGCAGCTGTTTGGTACCAGCCAATAAGCCGTCATGGATGCCATGGATGCGAAGGTCCTGCAATTCCTACGTGCTAGAGATTTCACGGCGACCCTAGATGTGGCAAAGGGCATTGGCCTGCAAACCAAAGCAGAAGTAAACCCAGCTTTGTACAGACTCGAGAAGCAGGGCAAGGTCTTGAAGGAGGATGCTCAAAAGCCACGTTGGAAGCTCGCGGGGCATATTGCTTCAGTTGAAAATGCTAGTGTCCAAATGGAGCCGCTCGCAAGTTCAGCAGATTCGCTTTTGGGCGAGGTGTTGTTCCAAAGTGATTTGCTGAGTGAACCTTCTACACATGGTGATTCCTTTTGAAGGCCTAGATACACTCGGTTCCACATTACATGGAAGTGGATGGCATGGCCATGCATGGCCCTGGTGAAGACCATTTTTCCCCTCGAAACGGTGTGGTGATGTGTTCCTTGGAGTGGGAGTCTATGCCGTCCCTTCCTGTGTCGACCATGGTCGCACCCCGGGCCCCATGCAGTTGCAGCCTGGAGAAGTCCATTCGGCCCGAGAGGGTAGGAGGTAAGAGATGGATGGAACAAAAGCTACCATTTGGGTGATCAATTCATCCTAGTTCATGCTCGTAGGCTGGAAGTATTTTTATCATTAGCTAGCATGAATGAAAGATGAACCTTTGGATCGCGGGTGTTTGATGACAAGCAGGTGTTGGGTAGTAGACCTGGCAGACCTGGTAATGGAAGATGAGTCTACCAGGTCTTTTGATGCTTCGCACGATAGATCCTCCATGATAGACCTGTGTGCGAGAAGAGACGGAACCATTGATTGTACAGACGTTCACGGGGGTTGTCACATTTTGTACTGTTTGACCAGAGGTATACGGATGTCTTGAGATGGTGATATCCGGCACGATGGGTGGACATGTGCTTTCCAGCTGCTTCCAAAAGCCAAGGTCGAACCCCTCAGCTGTAGATCTGGCCATTCTGCAGTTCCTACGTGCTGGAGATTGGACGGCGACCCTGGATGTGGCAACTGGCATTGGCCTGCAAACCAAAGCAGAAGTAAACCCAGCTTTGTACAGACTCGAGAAGCAGGGCAAGGTCTTGAAGGAGGATGCTCAAAAGCCACGTTGGAAGCTAGCTGGGCAGATTCCGTCCCTCGCTTTGACGGGCTTCCTTTCATTTTTGATTTGGAACACTGACAATTAAGCATTGAGATAGTCACGGAAGCGGATGGCGCCACTGGTTTGGTATTTGGAACATGGTTATCCAAGGAGCCATGCCATCCACTTCCATGTTGATTCCAGTGAGTGTAATTTTATATTTTTACATATAAGCTCTTTAGTGACTGTAGTGTTGTTCCAGTTTCGTTGGATGGGCGAGGGTTCTTTTGGGAGAAGTGGTGCCTTTGGGGAAGCATGGGAAGCATGGGAAGCATAGCGCAACATGGGAAGCCTGTCGTGAATCTGATGCTTAATCACAAATAGGCATGTTACAACCAATTGGACGTCCAAAAACTCCTCAACATGTTGCACACTGCAAATTTCGGGTCATGTTCCTACCCCTTGGAGCGTGCCGCTGTGTTTGGGATGGTCTTGCGCACCAGCAAAGGCCTCCAGCCGACGTCGCAAGCGGCACGCCAGCGCCGACGCGGACAGACCAAGACTCGGCCAACGGCCCCGAGAGCCGCCGTCTGGCTGCCACTGGGACCGTGGGCCCAGTAGACACTGCACCACGCACAGATGCCGGCACAGCACGCACAGGGCCCGTTCGTGCGGAAGGCGCGCAACAGGATGGCTTGAGGGTGGAGAATGCCAATCCCAAAGGTCAATTGCTGGAATGGTTCGGAGCACATGCAGTGAGGCTCACTTCGAAGGAGGTGCCCAAGGATTTTCAGTACGAGATTCGCGTGGGGCCTGTCGGCTCCAAGGCTTTTCTGGGTGAGGTCGAAAGCAACAAAGCTGCCGCACAGAAAAGCGCCTGCCAGAAAGCGCTGCATCATTTTCAAGAGCACGAAGATCAAATCCCCAAACTGGCTCCATCAAACAGCGATTTCAAGCAGCAGCTTGAATCGGTGTTGGGTCATGTTGACTTCAATGCTGTTGAGTCAGATGTAGGTGGGTTTCGCGCAACAGTCAAGGTCACTGTGGGGCAAAAAGAGATTCAAGTCACGGGTAAAGGACGAAGGAAAGTCGATGCAGAGCAGTTTGCCGCACAGGCTGTGCTTGATCAATGGCCCCAGGATGGGTCTGTACCCACACCAGGGACGACTGTGAACAAGGAGTGGCAGATGGAAGCGCTTGAGGAGCAATGTCACGAGCATGACAAGCTCAAGGATATGCTTCGAAAGTGGGATTTGCCAAACTTCGACTTCAACAAGATTTCGCCGAACCTCTCTTCGTGCATCAAGCAAGCTGTCAAGTTGGACCTCATTGATGAGGAGGAGAGGAGGCGCTTGGTGCAAATTAACACTCGTGGCAACTGTGCCAAGCATGCTCCAGAAAGGCTGCGTCCCAAAGAGGCGCATGGAACTCTTAAACTGAAGGCAGTGAGCCGAGAGTCTTCAGCCTCCCCAGCTGGGTCTGAGGATAGCTGGTGATGGCTCCTCCGACTGTCAGATGCAGCAGCGTATTTGTGAAACAAGGGATTGGAGAACCATCAACAATAATGTAGGAACATCCTGGAGAACCGTTGCAAACTAACGAGTGTCAGTTTTGTCAAGAGACAATTTCTCCACAAAAGTCACACCAAGCCACGGGTCCTTTAGAGGAACGTGCTTTTTCCATGGTCTACTTTCAGGCATTTAGTAATGTCAGTCTGTGAGGATGTAAAGTGGCCTGTAAGCCACATGTTTCAACAGACTGTGACTCCCATCGCTGTTTCTCAGAAATCCACCAAAGCATCCCAGCTGTTTGGAGTTGTCTCATCCTCAACTCCAGGTTGAGGATCATGGACTGGACAGGGCCGCGATGATCGAGGCATGGGCGAGCAACGAGCTGTTTGGGACGACTTGTTTGGATGAGGCATGCCGAGCAATACCGATCGACACGAGCTGTTTGGGACACAGTTACCATCCATCCTAGAGAATTACTTTTCTGTAGTTTTCAATATAATGATGGTATAAGGATGGTAACGGCCAGGTATATGGATGGGCATCCATGGATGGGGGAAACATAGTTAGACATACCTTTACCCCGATGAACCCAGCTTGGTCTATTTCGAGCCCGGGCACGGGATCGAGCCCGTCGGTCCACCACCCTGGAGCCACGTGGGCCGAGTCGAAGAGAGTTTCCCCTCTGACTCACAAAGATGGAAGTGGAAAACCACCTGTTACGGAGAGAAAAAGGGTCTTCTCAGGGGCCATTTTCATCTTAGTGAGTGGGACTGTGAGTGACTGAGAAGCTTCACGTGTGAGGGCAGGCGAGTGTGCGGCGAGGGCAGGCGGAGGGTCCCCTGTGGGTCCCAGTCCATGCCATTTGGCTGGAACCTTTTGATGTTTTGGTGATTTTCAAGCTACTGGCCAGAAGTGTTCACTTCGTCAACATAGTACATGATGTAATTACCGTGGGTGCAAAAAGATACCCCCTGAATGATGTTAGTCACTGCGAGTGGATCGTAGATCCTATGCGGATTCCTTTGATGTATCCTGTGTTGTGCCCGACCCCCGCCTGTCACAAGTTGCAATCCATTACCGTTAACCCATATTCTGTGACCACCATCGACATTTTTCAGGGTGGGGGTCATGCGGCCAAGCAGGGGGTTGCAAACATGTTTGATTCCTTTTACAGTACAAGTGAAAAGGTCTACTATAGACTATCTATTTGATCTATTGTGGATTCTTGGTGGATTCTTAAAAGGCTCCACTCTCCTCCCAATCAGGCTGCATCGCGCAGCCTCCGCCAGCAGATGCGTGGGGCGCTGCGGCGCGGCACCCAGACAAAATAGATGCGGCGAAAAAAGGATCCCATCTATTCTGGCAGAGATGTCCGCATCATGTCACAGTGTCGATTCGTGGTGCAGACCGTGATTTGGTTTCTGTCTGGAGGCGGTGCAGCTGTTGTGCTGTTGCCCTTCAAGACCCCGGGCTTCCGGGCGAAAAGGGAGACTCCCCAGCCGGTCAGCTCAACTCTCACCCTTCGAGGCCTCAATCGAAGACGGCACTACACGAAGGTGGGAGTGCCGGATCGGGTGGCTAGGAGTGTCATGGATAGTTCAGTTGAGTGGTGTTCTTTTAATAGGGAGACTTGCAGGGGGTCGTTTGCCAGGCTCATTCAGGTCATTTCCGTGTGCTTTCCAGGTGCTTTGATCGCCTCGTGGCTTAGACCAGTCACATGGGTCGCACAGATCACTGGGTCGCACGGCACCAGGTGCCGAGGAGCCTCGGAGTGTCGGGGGCGCCCGGTGTCGATGGTCGGCTCCAGAGGTGATTTGGACGAAACATGTGTGCAACTGTGCAACGTAATGTAGACTCTTGATTAATAAACCCTCCCCACTTGAATTAAAGACACCTTTTACGTGGGGGATTGATGAATCAAGAGTCTAGATTCGATTGTTGATTTAACATGACTTTACTTTCGGGTGATCCCCACCATGGCATCGAACAATGCCGACTGTGTAGCAAAGTGCTCTGGCATATATTCTGGCATCAGCGAAGCTGGTTTGGGTCCGGTGGTGCCCACTGCGATCTGGCGCTTGCGGTTCTGCGATGGAGCTCACGGTTTAAGTCCGGTGGTGCCGACTGAGCTCTGAAGCTCGTGGTTCAGGTCCGGTGGTGCCCACTGCGATCTGGCACTCGTGGGTCGGGTCGGCTGTGCCCATCAAGCTCTGGAGCTTGAAAGAAGGAGGCAGAGGAGGAGAAGGAGAAGGAGGAGGAGGAGACGGAAGCAAATGTTGATACAGCTTCGAGAAAGTATGAGAAAGTTAAGTCATCAATCATTTTTCTACACTTAACTGTCCCAGTCCCACTGATTCAGGGTGAGGTTGGTTTTGGTCTTATCATTGCTAGGCGCCAAGAATGATCGACGAAAAGCCAGCGTGTTTGTTACTCTCCACCGCCTGTCTAGTGCAGGCAGTTCACCGGAGGGCGGACGCTTGCAGCTCTACGACGCGTCAAGAAAAAGATGATAAGCTAGACACTCCATGGTCCATGGTGCTGGATTTTTTGCAATGCATGCGTTGCGTTGACCCCTGAGCTTCAACCCCATTCACCTAAGTCATTTCACCGTACACACATGTGCACAGGCCGATTCCATTGAATTGAGATGTGCTTCGAGTTTTTTGAACATGTGTTTGGGTTTCTTTACGTCGTTGCTTGCCAAGGGCGCATGTTCGAACATATCAACTACAGGAATGTCATGTTCAATCCGCACTTGTCAACCATGATTATCCTTAGTACTTTGATGTGAGTATGAACGAAAAAACGTGCCCAGAGGGTGCTCCTTGTAGAGGAAAGACTAAAGAACTTCCAAAATGTCAAAACACCTGAATTGATTTTTCGGTGTTCTTACGATCGTCCCCCAAAGGCTGTTTATTGACAAATTCAAACCCCATGTTGGAAATAAACACATATTAAGGATGTTTTTACATGGGAAACACCAGGACTTCCAGGTGCCAGTGCCTTTCTTCACCAGTCGGACCCAGGCTGAACATGCGCAGCGCCGCATTCGCAGCGCGGAGAATCAGCACAGGCCCGGAGAATCAGCACTGGTTGCTCGATCGAAGACGGCTCGTTCCAAAAACATCCGAGCTCTAAATAGGCAACCAATAGGTCCGAGCGGGGTTGGCGTGTGGGTTTTCAACTGTATTCGGGCCAAACATGATGGACGATGGACTTATATAGATGAATTTGATAATGTGGGACCGGAGGTTCTACTGTGTAGACCTCCTTGCGCACAACCCTCCAGTATTGTACCGAAAGACGGACAAGCAGTGGGGTAGCTGGGTTCCTCACGATGAGATGCGAGTGAAGTAAAACCTTCCGAAGTCAACTGCGTGTTGATCCAGACTTTCACACCAAACCAGGCCCTTGGTCCAAAAGACTCGTGTGCTTTGGTGTGACCAAACCTTCAGATGAGCTGAGATGATGTTTCGCCACGAATGGGTTTACACAACAATATGTCACCGTCAAGTTCTACGTCGGCACCGGCACGGAGCCTTATATATCACACCCTGGGACCTCTGCCTCCATCGTCGCCCCTCGAGACCGGCCGTTCCACCAACCCTCGCCACGCCGTGCCACCGCTCCGCCCAGCGGAACGGAGCCGGCAGGTCGGTCTCCGATCCGCACACCGAACCAGCGCCCGCGAGCACCGTGGCGCCGACGCCGTCCACGTCGGCCTTGGATAACTACCTGGAGGAGAGGAGTTTTTTCTTTTTTTTTCTGGGGACCCAGCATTCCAAGGAAGAGAAGGAAGTACGTGCTGGTGAGGTGGTGGCGAAGAAGGAAAGTCATGGGACCGTCCCCATTATGGTGCGAATGGGAAGAGCGGAGAGATGAAATCAACAGTCTGAGTGCTGTGGAGTCGTGACTGCACGGTGTGTGCATAGAACTGTATATATAAGGCTTGGAGACTGATAAGATGGTTGCTATTTCAAGAAGCAACGGTGTACGAGAGGTACACTCAGTATTGATCCAAAGACCTCCAATATTCATTTTTGTGAAAGGCCAATCACCCTTCAGTGCGAAAAAACCTATGTTGCACGGGCCCCAAAGTGAGGATTTGGTCTATGAGTGTATGAGGATAGTCTAATTAGAGGGAAAGCGATTGGGACTTGACTTAAGCCTGTAGCCCAACACATGCGATCCAGCTTCCTCCAGCTTCCTTCTCTCAAAATCTCTCATATCCAGGATGATGTTGAAGAGGCACGGGCGGTGGGAAAGTTTGGCGAGAATCATGAGGAAAGGTATCACATAAGTGAGTTGCGACATCCAAGATGTGTGATGCGCGATAGTTCGACCATATTTATTTAAACATAACTCACTTGGCAACTTGGGGTGGTCGATCATTGAGTTTGGCTCGAGATTCCATCACAACATTTGGCAAGATATAGCTAAGGCTATATTCATTATGTCACCGGTTAGAAGCGATAGATCTTTAATGATAACTTTTGCTGGTTGAGAACACGCGACCCGGCGATTGCTAGTCGTTCGCAACAACCTCAAAAACAGCCAGGTCTCTGGCCTGCGGACACAACACATGGTAGACCCTTGGGATGTTGAACATCCTGGAACCGGAATCTATCATGTTGGGACTAGACTACGTATACACAAAGATACATCATTCACCTCACGAACATCTCCGCATCACCGCTGAGTGTAATTGGGCTGCAGATGTGGGATGTATTTTTTTTTCCCAAGCTGCACCTCCCTCATACATGTGACTCCTGGCCCATTGTTTTTGCAGGATGTCACCGGGCATTCAGGCCTCGATGACGCACTGCCGGCCACATTTCTTCCGCGTATCCATCGGTGGAGGGGGGGGACAGCGCGCTTTGCGGTGGGGACGGTTCCAGGAAAAACCAACCGTTTGTGCAGATCGCAGAGTCACTGGCAAGTTACGCCAAGTCATCATTGCTTCGTTCCAATGCTCTGTGGCTTTGCGATCCTCATCTACAGCAAATGGTAAGCTTTCCCGTTCGGTGCACCGATGCACTGAGCCTCCAGGTTCAGCGCCCGACTCGGCCAGGTGCCTCGGGTGCCACACGACTTTCCCCAGGAGCTGAAGAGACCGGCGAGTCGAAAGAAGGAGCCGCGAGACCGTGGAACGAGCGAGTGGCGAGGCCGTGAAAACATGAATTGGAAACCAGATGGATGGATGGACTATAAGGCGTTTCTTTTGCGACTTGAGGATGGCGTTGTTTTGTTTTACTTATAGTCTTTTGGTCACACGTCTTGGAGACTTGTTGGAAAACTCGTTTGTTCAATGCCACACAAACCTGTTAGTTTACAGCTTTTCTACCAGAAAGATGACCCCATAGGAACTAAGAAGCTACTAGTAGCAAAGAGCATGGCTACGAACGGAGCGTTCGGACGCTACGAACGGGGCGGTCCTGGCCTTACTACGAACGGAATTGCTTCGAGGACCCTTCGGCCTCAGCGGCCGCCGGGCTGGGCGCCTTCTCGGGCGCGGTGAGGTGCGAGAAAGGGTGACGGGGGAAGAACACGACGACGGGGAGACGGGGAACGGCAGAAGATGTAGAACAGCAACATCACCAATTGAATTCGATTCAAATAGATATAGATTCTGAACTATTTAACAATTGTCATTTGGACAGTGTTTCTATCCATTTCGGGGCCGTTAATAGGTGATCTGTATGTCAGAGGATTTGGATTTCGGAGATGGTCGTTGGATTGTCTGTGGACCAGCTGTGGTAGCGATGACACTCTGTTTGCATGAGTTGGTCCGTTCTCGTCCCCAAATCACCCAATAACAGCGGAGAACATGGGTCTTGCGATGTGCACGCTGCTTCAGAAGGGTCTTTGAGTTTTGATCGACGCCGCGAACGACGGACCTGACGGACCTGATGGACCCTCCCAACGACCAGTGAACAAGGACCTCCACACTTAGATGACATGGGACTAGTGCTTAGTGCCAAGGACATGTGAACAAAACGATCACCATTCGAACAGTTGAGCAGCTGCCCTGGTAGTCATGCTTGGTTTTGGGGTTCAACACGTTGTAGCAGGGTGCCATGGCCCACAGCCATATGGAATGCTGTCGCGTTTGAACTCAGGTGAAAACTTTATGGGCTCAGGGAGGGACAGTCTACAAAAAGGCTTTATGTAAGAGAAGAACTCTTCACAGTGGCAGGCCACGCAGGAAAGGCCAAGCAGGTCATTCAAGTAGAAGTCATCGGTCAATCACCCTGCAGGATCCAAAGTATGGACCGTGCAACTTCTGTTCTTCTGACCGAACAGCAGTAGCTTCCGACCAAACCCCTTTCAAACCTCCTGGGAGTGTAGTTCGACCACGCCAGGATGACCGATGCCTTTGAGCAAAAGAAGACGAGGCCTGGCCGTCGTCCGCCCATGCGCTAAAGTTGGATATACCCCTCATCGTGTGGGATATGGTTTTACTCTCTTACACTCAAAGGAATAATGCAGCGTTTTCTCCCGTTTCTCTCCAACATGTTGTAGAACTAGAAGTTCAACTTGGATTCCGAGAGTTCCAAACCTCAAGCGGCCAAAGCTTACTGCAACAAGCATAACAAGCACCAAGTAAAACCCATTGAACCCCCCAGAAACGCCATAAACAACTTCAAACAGTTCCCCCTCCTGCTAAAATAGTCTAAAATCAGTATAAAGTCATGTAAATTCCACCCAAATATTGGGTAATTATAGAGACCTGGATAGAATTGGTCTATCTTCAGAGCTTTTCGTTCCCCTGCCTTCTCTTGGCCCAGGCAGCCCATTCCGGTGGAGAGCTGGGGCCCACGGCCACCGAGCCGCGCAGGGCTGCCGCCCAAGGCGCACCGGGGTTCGTGTGGCGGATGGGTGGGGTGGGTTCGGGTGGATTGGGGTTGGCCGGATTTCTTGATTTGGAAAGTGATGGAAGTGATGGACAGGTTCTTTTGGACCTTGGAACAGCTTGAATTCTCGATGTGACAGCCTCATATTGTGTGACATAAGGTTTGATGTTTTTTGAACTGAAAGTGGTGGTGGATCTGCAACAAGATAGAGAGATATAGAGAGTATCCTCGGAATATCCGTCCAATCTCAGTGGCGAGGCAAGTGGTGCTCATAAGCAGAAATGTTTGGTGAAACGATGAACAGAGCATTTGCTCATGAAAGCTCAGGCCTTCCATTACAGTTGGTTCAAGACCAAAAACAAACACATACAAACATCCTTTGAATGAAAGAATGTGCTTCCCAGAGAAGCTTTGACATGCAATACATATGTAAGAAGCAAGATCGAACTAGATTTGTTTTTTCTTTGGAACTTCTGGTGCAGAGGGTGAAACGCTCTGCTCTCACCGGGGCCCGGCCCGGTCCGGCCCACCGTGTCCAGGCCGAAGCGCTGACGGATGGATTCAGCACGTCCTGCAGAGGTGGGGAAGAGCGGCAAGCGGCGGAGGGAGGCCGACCGTCGGTGGTGGCCTCGGGTGGCAAGGCTCGATGGTAGATCTGGTCGAAAAAGGGTCTCCACAGTACTGAGCAGGGTGGAAACCACTGAGCGCTTTGGAAAGCATGAGGAATCCGAGTTTTGCCTGACGAATATATGAAAGCTCTGTGGGTGATTCAGGGTGCCCCTATGGCGCTTTACCCCCGACTCACTGGGAAGTACTCTGTTGATCCGACCCAAACAGTTCTTATCGTAGCAGCACAGCACTCATGTCCTCCAGGTGACATAGGAAGTTCTTTGTCTCGCCTTCAAAGAGGCCTTGTTTGGCTCTCTTTTTGACCTGCAGGTGTTGGTGCCTCCAGCTCCAGCGTGGTCCTTTCGAGCATGTTTGGCGGAGTCATGAGTGGATCTGAGTGGTAGATGTGAGGTAAGTTTGGAGGGCTCTCATGTATCTTTGAACCGGAAGAAACATAATTGCCTCCTAAAGACGGTGTTGCTTTTGTTGTGACAAGGCAGACAGTGGCAACATCTTGTGGTAGTGGTAGTGAGGTGAGAAACCAAAAAGAAACTGCGTTTTTAGGTGTCCAAAGGGCGTCTTCCCCGTCCATGGATTTTGAGCACATACTTGAATCACATAACTTGAAACGGCAAGTCGTTTTGATTAAGTTTGGTGTTGTGTTTTCACTGAAAAATGTCTCCGACAAAAACTTGTGCCGTTTGAAGATGCATGCACCAGAATCAAACAGTATACATCGAGCACATCGACTGTCGAACTTGGTGCGAATCCAGAGAAACATCTATGCCACGTAAAACACTGAACATGTTTTCTGGTTTTTGACATGTTTTTTGAGTGAATGCCACGGTTTCCTTCGTTGTGCACAACCACGCGCCAGGGGCGTCCCTTCAACGAGCGAGAGACGAGTCAAGGCTGCGTTGGTACGGAGGAAGGTTGGCCTCAGATACTGAGTCCCTCCAATCATGGAAGTGGATGGCATGGCCATTTTCCTGTAGCAAGTTTTGGGGTTCACTTCCATAACTTGGGGAAGATCAAACCACGAAAAGGTGAGCCGGCATGAGGCGTCATTCACTCGAACTGACCGAACCGTATCCTGTTTTGGCAAGTGGAACAGTGGCTTCTTGTGGCAGTTGAGCATCAGAGTTCACCCCATCGGTGTGGCGTAATTGAGACCGTCGCCCATCTTCTGGTGGCAAGATCTTCCGGATGAAGACCTACATCCATTCTGAAAAATATTTGAAACTTGGGGTAAGGGGTAAGGTAACAGTTTGTTGTGTTTTTCATTTTTACGTGTCATGTTCTATATATTTGAGGCCAGAGATTGGACCGAAGGCTATTGCCCAGATGGGATGGGAGGCAAGTTGGTGCACTTCACTCCAACAAGCTCCAAAAGCCCACCCCTTCCTTCCTAGTAGCTTCTTGTTCCTAGTAGTAAGGCCAGGAGCCCCTAGTAGCATCCTTGCTCCTGGTAGCGTCCTTGTTCCTAGTGTCCTGGCTGTGGGTTTCTAGAACAGTTGATTGAACAACCAGAAGATCAATGATCAACCAGAGTTTTGAGAGACCCACGAGCTCTTCACCGTGTCTTCACCGTGCCTCGGCCGCGTTCGCCCGCTCGGATGGCCAGGCCGCTCGAGCAAGAGCCACGAGGCGCCCGCTCGGAAGGCGGAACAGGCGGAGCGGCCGCGCGGATTCCGCGGAGCGCGGAGCTGTGGGCGGAGACTCCGGTGCCGGAAGTGGGTCGTGATCCACGGGGCCATGGAAAGCTTGACCTTCCAGGTATAGGTGGAAGGTATCTTGGGCGGCACCCACGGCCAGATGGGGTTCAGGCTGGTCCAAGGATTCTGAGGGATCCTCAAACGCCGAAGACACCCCTTGCACTGCTTGTTGCAATGCTTTTGATGATATATACTACGCGCAGATGACATAGGAGTTGTGGCATATGCTCGAAGACTCCTATCTCACTTCCTCTCAGTATATGATTCTATGAGGATTTATGATAATAATATGAGTTGTTTGTTGAGTCAAGCCGAGATTGAGCCCTCCCAAGGTCCATGGACCATGGACTTCTTAGGGCATCTGGTTCCATGTTCAACATGGAACCGTCTGTCAATGAGTGCAAAGCGGCCCAAGCGGCCCGTCTGTCAATCCTTGGTCCTAGTGTTGTGCTTCGTGCGAGACTTTAAACAGTAACACCCAGACAGACACTTAAATAGATGGGTTGCCCCAGGTGCCATTCAAACTGATGCAACTCACATGCCAATTCGCTCAAAAAGGATGGGGAAGAGGTGCCCAAAAGTGTAATAGACACTCTACTATATAAATCAATCTAAATCATGCCATGCGGCTGCACCTCCTCCTATCTCGTATATCCTCCTGGGAGCTCCACGAGCTCCGCCCTCCTCGGAGGCCCTGCCTGGCTCCAAAGTGGTGGGTGGCACCTGGGCGGCGGCCCGCGCCGAGCCGCGGAGCGCCGGACCGGGACCGGGCACCGCCAGCGTGGGCCCGGCGAGAGTTCGGGAGAGACGAAGGTGGACCATGTGTTCAAAACGATGACCTGGTGGTCCGTGGTGGTTGTAGTTGTAACATCCTATTACAATATAACGGTTTGGTTGGGGATTCAGGCTATTGCATCAATTTGGGTAGTTCATGGTAGTTCTTTTTCCAAGGGGTAAGGTTGTGGGGCATTGGGAGGTTCTGCTGACGTGGTCGGCGCTTTGGGGCCCGGGGGGGATGGACGATCAGGAGAGCGAAGTGGAGCGATCTCCGGAAAACGAAGGGATGGGTTTGGATGGGATACATATAGTACTGTACATATATGACTGTACAAGTACTGCTTATATATATGGATATAACATGATATAACTATGATCTAGTTGTCTTGGATGGGTTGTCTTTACTTTTTGCAGTTGTAGGTGGTGGGTCTGCCCAGTTTAAGCCATGTGTAGTTGCTTCGACTCGACCTACAGGAGGGATTGTGACCACTTCGGATGTTTAGGATGTTTCCTGGGATGGACACAGAGGTTTCTTGTTGCTTTACACCGACTTTGCATGAACTCATTGAATGAAGTGGCCGTGATCGCGTAGTCTTAGATGACAAATCTTTCTTCACTGAGTCCTCGTGGCTCCTACGACCAAAGAAGTTTGTTCTGATTGGTGAATTGGATGCGCTTTGCCGGATTTTCTGGCTTTGGTTGTAGTATGTTGTAGTTAAACAAGATCCTATCTTTGAATCCACTATCTAACATGGTTTCTTTGGTGGTGCAGAAGAATTTGTCCATCAAGAATAGTTATTCAAAGCGATATCCCCAGAAACTACCATCAATCCTCATCAATCCCCAAGACCAATCTGCTCAAATCCTGTCATCATTTCGGTAGAGCAAAAGGGTGATGCAAACCAATCCACCAGCCTGAGCTATATATATATATTAGTTACACCGTTACACCATGTTAAACCTCCAAACTTGGAGATTGCGCCATCTACTCTCCATCCTCGTGTCAACTGCGCCATCCTACGCCGCGTCGCCGCGCCATCTACGCACCACTCGCCAGGCCGATGCCCGGCGCGGCCGTGAACGCCGCGCCACGCGCAGCGGGCCCAAGGCGAGCCGGTCACTGGTGGACATCCTTCGGTGTGTGTAGCAGTGAGGCAAAGCCCAGTTGATTGAAACCGTACTACGAGGGGACGAGGATTTTAGACTATGCATGTGTTTTCGGCCCTGGAAGCCTGTGCGGCACTGTTGAGGCAGCTTAGAGTGTAGCTTGTCTCCGTTTCACTGAGACAGCTGACAGCAACAGTCCGAGTAGACTGCCTTTGTTCTTTGACAAAGTCGTTTTGGAAGAAAGGGCAGCTTACAGAAGAAAAGAATGATGGACCGAAATGCACATCCTTTCTGGGGATGCTTCACTCTCTCTTCATGCAGCCTTGTGTTGTGGTGATTGCTTTCCTTCAAGGCTTTTCATCAGGGCAATCGTTACTTAAAATATCTTCGAATCATTTAGAATCTATTCACATTGAGATTCACTCAATGGCTTTTCAAAACAACTACCGGTTCGATCCTCCCTACCAACGGTTGGATGTCTACGTGCTCACGAGCCCACGTCAACGGACTAGCATGACTTGCAGAGCAGCTTCCGGCAAGCTCCAGGCTATACCCTGCATGGCTATACCCTGCTGTGAATTCTACCGGGTTGGTGATTGTTGTGAATCTCACCTGGTGTCGGTCGGCTCCAGCCACATTCCGCGTGGAGCGTCTGGGTCCATGACCTGTAGCGCCGCAAATTTCCGCCCCAGTGGCTTGCCACGCCGCCACCCCGCCAAGTATATATTCCAGGCCCTAAGTAAATCTATTTTCCATAAGCCCCAAACGAAGCCCCCCAGGCCACGAACTCTGCAACACCGAATGCTTTCAGGACCTCCACGCAGTGCCTCCACACCTCGGCTCCGTTTTATCGTCGGTGTATCGCTCGCTCCAGGCCACAGACCTGGGCGTCTTTGGCCGCGGCCAACCGCTGACAAAGAGTCTCAGTGACCCGGGCGGCGGTTTGTCGCGTCCGCGGTCGATGGAGGGGTCGATGGGCAGGGGGGATCGGCGGTGACGAGGTGTCAGTGGGCGATGCCTTTGGAGCAAAGACCACCCCTCAACAGGAATCCCCTCAACGGCCTTTGGGCAGGCTCAGGTTGCTCACGTCGCCATCGGGTCTTTTTTTGAATAAAACGAGTTGTTAGTGGATGTTGGTCACATGGATGTCAGGGTGAGTCCCTGGCTTGGTAGAAGCTTTTTCACTCTGCGCAATTGCTTTGGGATTGTTACTGTATGTTCCATATTATTGTTCCAATTGTTATGTTCCATGCGCATTTTGGCTCTTATATAACTAGAATCTGCCAGAATCTCCGGAAGGGGCTCGATGGGAAAGTGTGGATTTCAAACTCTCGCCACTGAGGGTACACCCTCCCATGTTTTTCTTCTGATTCTTAGGTTTGTTTGTGAATTGTTGATTATTATTCAACTTGATCGAGTTTGACTCATTGGTGGGTCAAATACGAACAACCCACAGGTGTGGCAGAAGATATAATATAAGGACCCGGAGCCGATCTTCCTCTATCAGGCGATGGTTGGAAGGACGCGGTCCTGCAGTCCTTGGACGGTTGGATGTGGCTATGGGGTCAAACATGGTCAGACCTTGACGGGATGATTTTCTTCACTCACTGGCCCACTGACTCACCCATGCTCTGACTCCTCTTTAAAACGATTTGAAACAACCACCCAAGAAAGCACACTGACTGGCTTGGGATCCCAGGGACCGCTTCCTTCATCCGCGATCGACCTAGTGGGCGACCCAGGTGGAGTCTTGGACACGACCCAGCGGCTGCCCCAGTGGTCGAAGGGGGACACAAAAAGCTACAGTGAGATATTTCGTTTGGGGGAGACCGTTTGCTGGGTGGTCGATGTTTTGGAAGAGCTGACGTTGTGTCACAAAGATGTTGGAAGACGACGAGGCCTTAACCTTGAATTTTCTGTACGAAGCCTTGAATTGCAGTACTGAAGATCAAGTATAATACCCTGGTTCACGTTTCACTCTGTCCCGTAACAGCAACAGCAGCAGCAGCAGCATCACAGCTGAGCAGCCTCAGCAGGAGGCTTTGGCGGACAGTGGATGTGGACAAGAGGCCCCTGAAACTGCAGGATTTGGCACCCCTTTGGCAAGTCCTGTGGCTTTGAGGGAGTGGCGTGGAATGTTGTAGGTGTCACCGTGTGTCTTCCCTCAATTCTTCCATGGCAGCGGCAACAGTTTTCTACCATCTGCACTGAGACATCCCGGAGGAGACGGGTGATGTGGGCGAGGGATGCCATTGCAGCGGGGTCTTTCTGTGATGCGGGGCCACAGCGGGTGATCTCAGCTACGACCAAGAGCCGGTCAGAGAATGCCGGGTTCATCAGATATATAGATGAACGAAGCGAAGAGAGCAAAATCATTGGTTACCGCTTGGAGCTCTCGCTTGACCTGATGCACTGCGATTATAACGGGATAGATCATTGCATGCCCTCGGTGCACCATGCTTCAAGATCTATACCGCCCCTAGAGCGGTGGCATGATCCCTATGTTGAGGCGGTGCCGTCATCCAGTGCGGATGAGTCCGCGGGCAGCCTTGCGGATGACCCTCTAAACGTCCAACGAAGAGGAGAGATCAGATCACGCACCCAATGGAGCATGCTCCTGATGGACCCCCTATCCATTCCTCCCAGACCTGACCCGGAAGTCGGTTCCGGCAAGTGATGCGTCCACCAGGCCGGATACTTACCTTCTTGGGCTCGGGCTGGGTGGTACCCAGCCTGTCTGTGAACTTGGGAGGACAACGTGTTTAAGGGTACATCTTGCCCGTGGTTCAAGTAGGGCTTCTATGGTTACATGTCCCGTTTCGCCTGTTGTTTTGTGCAGGTCTCAGGCTTTGGGGGTCTGGTCTTATAGGTTCTCATCCATGTATCGGTGCAGTGGTTTTCCAAGGTGTGCCTCCAACATTCACGTATACAATTGCAAGGCGCTGACTGAAAGAACCGCCCTGTTCGATATACCAGAAAGCGTTCGCCCTGATCCTTTGTTCATCCTTTTTCGGCGTCGACCGATGAGCCCTTCGGTGACCGGATGTGGCCCAAACACTTCGGGTCGCGGACCATCAACCAGGATGCAGATGTCCACCTCTCTCAAAGGCCACCTGGGAGGTCCATGTACATCTACGTTGAAGCGATTTCAATCCCGCCGGACACGACAGCAGATTCACATGTTCACACTCCCAAAAGAGGCGGGGTCTATCGCAACAGCTGGTGAATGGCTCACTAATGTGTTTCACTGGCTGGTTGGGATCCACCTCTTGGAAAACATATCCAGGTGCAGGCTGTGTTTCACAAAAACCATGTTTGAAGAGTCTCGTGACTCGTGTTCAACTCTCGACTAAATAAATGCCGATCAGTCGGACCTGATTGCTCAGCACAAACCGTTTCCTTAGATCCAAGGTCTCCGAAATCCAACCAGCAGTTGGGTTTGGGGATGCTCATAGGCATAGGGGTTTGGACTTCCAGAACCTGCCAGTAGCTAGGTGGGAGGGTCCAGTGCGCCCATTTTGTAAGGTTCGGTTTCTTCATGTCTTCAGATTATCGCTCGATCCATCCTTTTAAAGTCCAAAATGTCGAACAAATTCCATGGAGATTGAATCTGTGCCTTGGGAGAAAATTATACTCCCACCGACTCCAGGACCCCAGGATTTTCGGGTTGTGCTGAAACATGTTGAAACCACTAACCTTAAGTTTCCTTCCGGAGTTGGTCAAGATGGCTCGAGCCCGAGCCGTTCGCTGTCCGGCGTTGCATCGCTGTGGGCCATGGGCCGCCACTGACGATGGAGGAGCATGGCTACTCAGTCATGCGAGTCCTAGGCCAAGGGGGCGGCTGCAACAGCCGGGTCTATGCAACTTGGTTTTCAAATCATTCATCCAGGTGGCTCCCAAGAGTAATGTCCCAAAGCCATGGAACCAACAGAATCACTTCACTGCAGATTCCCAGCAACGTTTCTACTGACATCAACCCCTCCGCTCCTCCGGTCCAACCGGCCGTTTCAAACCCCAAGGAAGTGAAGGACCCCAGTGGTCAGCTACGGGTGGTGAAGCAACTGCCATGGCTGGGCGAGTCGGATCGTGAAAACGCCTTAAGGGAGGCGCGACGGGGCGAGCGAAGACCGAGGGCTTGGTGGATTGGAGGATGTTCTTCTTTGGAGTTTTAGGAGGTTACAGTAGTTCTTTGGGTTGGCCGCACATCATAGGAATGTCGCGAAGACTTTTCATTCAAAGATTCGATGCAACGCATCGATAGGGATGAAACATATATGAAACATTATGACACATATATAATATTCTTAGATACCTGGCGATGATCTTTCGGACATTTTGGAAGCTCTGAGGGCATTTGTTCAGCACTTTTGCCAACAATGACGATTTGGGGTTGAACTAGCTTCACTTCAACGAGGACGCTACAGTTGAGCTTGATCACACAGATGTGGTCATGAGGCATGCCCACCTTCCATGCACACGTGTTGCCTGTCCTCAGATTCGGTCTCTTGCATGTCACGAGGCATTCAACTATAATGTTTTGTTCCCAGACACTCCATGGGACTGGCAGATTTACTGACATTCACCCCTGAAATCAACCACCACAATGTGTGTTTGAGAACAACACATTAGTTGAATGCATCGTGTTTGGGGTTGACGAGCGCGATGTGGCGATCGCAGTGGAGCGCCAGGTGAGATTGTTGTCCTCAATGAGACATCCATGCATCTTGACTGAGGTGGGTGTGCATTTGATTATAGGAAGGCTCCCCTGTCCCAAGATGGCCCAAGGGGCTTTAGATGGTTTTAGTCTAAATTTAGCCCTCTGGGCATCTCCCAACCGAGTTTTTTGATCGGAACATATGCAGGTTCGACCAAGTGAAACGCCCAAGAAACCTGCGTGAAATCCATTGGGCCGTGACCCGGAGCCCGACCAGTCCACCATGTAGCAGTTACGACCAGTCGACTAGGTAGGTCAACCGTTCGGTGTCATGGTTGAGACATGTTGAGACACTGGCCACACAAGGTTGGAGAGACTCGAAACGCCTAAACCTCGGCTCAACACAAAGCAAAGAAAACAATAGGACGGCTGAAAGGGTGTCCATAGTGTCCATTCATCACCCCTTAGCCCCTTAGCTGCATGTATATTTGCATGTTTTACAATTTTACAATGACATGCATCACATGTTTCTTTGGCTGTGCTCTTTTCTCCGCACACCAAAGCCGATCCCCGAGTCAAGAAAGCCTCGAGCTCGAACCCAAAGTCGGATTCGCCGACGGATCGATCTTCGATCCCTTCTCGTCAGGTATCGTCCCCTATTTTGAAAGCTTTCTGGTGAGATCGACCCCTTCCTTGCCTTCAGAGGATTTGCTTTGCCTAGTCATGAGCCGTTGTGATCGTGACCTGCGACAAGAATGTCTCCGGGTGCGCTTAGAATGGGAGCTGCAAACCTCCGACGCCGCTGCGGCGTCCGCGTCCCGCGCGACCGGCAGCAGCACGATGCTGTCGAAACCACACATCCCAGAGACGCAGGTGCTCTCATGGCTGGCACAGCCACTGGGCTTGTGAGACGCAAGAAATGGGGCTTGCGAGACGTCAAATCTAGACACAAAAAGTCAGTGCATCCTTGTGCATCAAGAACACACCAAGAGTATCCACGTCCACCATCCCAAAAACCTCACCTCTCTTGATCCATTGATCCGCCGCATCATTTTTCTGAGGTTGGCCTGGGGTCTGCAGCATCTCCACTCGCGGAAGTTTTTACACCGCGATCTGAAGCCCCAGAATGTGCTCCTGGCACAGCAGGGCAAGCGTGTGATGCTGGCGGATTTCGGGGTGGCGGGCCAGGCGGACCCGCGACTGACCGACACAACGACGGCCGCGGTCCGCGGACTTCGGTCCAGTCCAGGACCGAAGAAGAATCATCCTGAAATGAACTTGAACTACCTTCAGGATGTTGGATATGTTCCCTATCCGGATCTATCCTGGATGCCAAACTACATATGCTGTTCTCATCAAGGGTTGAGAGATGTTGAGACCTTCTTTAAGAAGGGCTGGGGATTGTCATCCCAAGGCTTGTGCCGTAGTTGCTTCTGTTTTTTGTGATGCCCATCGTTGTGTTTGGGGATGGTGCAACCTGGTTTGTTGTTCAGAACTTAAATTATGTTAGATCATAGCCGGTGAATGGTTCTCTATAACATGGGGACCATGGCCATTTGTAAAATGCAATTTCAGGTGACCCATTCTATAGTGAGGGTACCTTGGATAAAGAAGGCGGGAGCCCGAAGCCTGAAATTGCATTTTGTAGAGGGTCATTTTCAATCAGGCCATCCTAGCTCATAGAAGATAAGACATATGAGATTTGGAGTGGTCGGAGTGGCTTCAACATGTTGGTGAAGTGAAATCGCATACTTAGTTAAACAGGCTTTCGCCCAATTACAGAGACTGCCTAATTATAACTATACAGTCATAATAAAGACTTTTTGTTTCTTGAGTTTTGTCCTTTCTCCCTTTGGGGATTGCCCCTTCTCGTCACGAGAGAGTGACTTCTTGAAGGTGTCGTCTCTTTGTCTATTCTCACGGCGAGAGACCTGTTTGGCGCTTTCTGGTAGCCAACATATGTGCACTGACACTGAGAGATCCCCACACTTCCGTTTGTTTGTTTTTTTTGTGAGGTACCGTGTTTCCCTGCTTCGGGACTGGACACAGAGGCACAAAACACTTATTATGCAGTTCAACTGGATTGGCATGTCATAGAAACATACATAAGAATACAACAAGCTTTATAGTACTTTATAGAGCTTTATATACTATCACAGAGCTCGGTCTGGTCATTCCAAAGAGGGGTTTTCTCTATAAAAGGTCCAGTAGTGCATTGACCAGGTACCTTAAATCTAGAATCAACATTTGGTGCAGACCAATATTGACCATCCGGGTATCTTAAGTCCAAATATATTCAGAACGCTTGAAAACAGCCTGGTAGGAGCTCTCAGAAAGGAATCTGTCCTTCTCAACCCTCCGTTTTCCACATCTTTCCATCTCGTTCGGTCACCCGTGGCGTAGACCGGTCACCAAGTTCCCGTCTACCCGCACGGAGCCTGTCTCATTCGATCCGCCAGACCGGCAGGTGGAGCACACCGAAGACTTGCGGCGTTCCATCGTGGGGACTCCGGCCTTCATGAGCCCTGAGATGTTGGAAGGGAGGCCTTACAACAGCAAGACGGACTCCTGGGCGGGCGGAACCGCCGGCGGAACCGTTGGCCGGTCTGTCTTTAAGGGGTGGCGGGCTGGTTGGGAGGTCTGGTATCGGCTTGGGGAACATGATGAGGGTCGTTTTGGGAGGGTGATGGCGAGGAAAAAAAACCGAAGAAGGCGAGGCTGAGAGGAAGACCTTCTCAGACACTCCACCGGATACTTATGGCATACCTGCAACCTCGTGTTTGCTTTTTTTTCGTCGGTAGTTCAAGAAAACCTCGATCTAGGTCTGTGAACCATACTACACAAACATCGGCAACCACAATATACATCCGCTGCAAAAGCACGTTCAGGTAAACGCGCTCGTAAAGCGCCCGTGGCTGTGGCTCACCAATGAACGCCCGTAACTTGTGTATAAACGGCTGCGGAATATCAGAAAACTAGGAAACATAGCAGAAACGTCCGCAGACTCAAATATAAGACAATCGAGGCAATGGCAGCAAAAGATGGCCTTCACGCCGCAGGAAAAACAATACACTGGGAAGTTCTAGGTATTTACCATTATTTACCTACATTCACACTGAAACCACCCCAAGGTAGGGCGTCGGGTTTGGAAACCAAAGATCTTTGGTGTTTAAACTCCTGGGGGTCCACAAAAACCCTTTCCAGCTTCACCAGTGCACTCCAGCATTGTTGGAAGCTGGTTCAGGTTCCCTTGGAAAAAGAGTTTTTGCTTGAAAGATTGCTGGTTCTGGCAGGTGGAGATGTTTTCCACCTTACAACCGGTCCACTGAGTTCATTCGATGATGTGCTTCCAAGGTTTCATGCATATGCTGCAGTGTGACATAGGCCATCGTAGAACTCTTGGAACTCTGCACAAGCAGTGCAGTCTGACATCAACATGTCCTGGCGAGGTCAAGAAGGATCCACCAACTTTACCGGTATTTGTGGACGAAGTCCATCTGACAAAAACCGGGGGAAGTGATGTTCAGGGTAGCTGTGATGTTCAGGCTCTTTCAGACGACGTCACTGGACATCATGTTCGTTTGCGCCCCTTTGCACCACCTGCCACCTGCCACCTTCCGTCTTTCCAGCAATTCTTCAATCTATTTCCATCCAGTGCTCTGCTCCATCCCATCCAGGACCAGTGGGCCTTGGGTTGCGTTCTCTTTGAGATGATGGCCCTGGAGCCCCCCTTCGCTGGCCGCTGCGACTCCTACGCCGCCGTGGTCTCCGCCGTGCTGCACGCGCCGCCCGTGGAGGCGCCGGACGGCTACAGCGAGCCACTGAGCTCAGCGCTGCAGAAGCTGCTGGCGCGCAAGCCGCATCACCGGCCGAGCAACCGAGAGCTCTTGAGGTCACAAGTACTTCGGGAGACTCGGGGTGAACGAGAGAGAGAGAGAGAGAGCGATCTACTTTTGGGTGATGATTGGGGCACATTGGGGGCTTTTGTTCTTACCCACTATAGGGCTCGTTTGGGTGTAAATGTGAGATTCCCGTGAGACTCAGCGTGGTTGGGTCGCTTGTTTCTTGTTTCCGGAAAGTCCCATATCGGAACCAGAGGTTCGGGATGGACCTGCTTGTTGTTTTCGATCACGGAATTCTGAACCTTCTTTAGGTGACTATCCTTGCTTCTATATAAAACCAAATATGGAGTTGGAATGATTCGCGTGCAGACCTGGGTTTCAGAGATGTTTACCAATTAATTACAAGAGTGTGTGTTCCACAATGAGAAACAATTTACTGGTTTTTGAGAATGTTGAGAGAGGGCTTTGGTCCAAAGTCAAGTGTGTTTGTTGATCGAAACGTATTGAACGTATACTAGAGGATGGATGCGTGTTGCAGCAACACACTTGTCTGTGCGCACGACTTCAGACATCTCAGGATCCTTTTCACGATTTCTTGCAGTCCTTGGACATCACTTTAGAGCGGAAGGCTTCGTTAGAGCCCTGGGCGAAAAGTCGTTCCAGCCTAGCCTCATCTCCACCCCCTGCTGCCACCCCACCAGCCGCCGCAAGCCCACCTCCCACCGCGCCACCGGCCAACGCCGCGGGCGGCTCGGCGCGGCGGGCGGTGCCGTACCTCCGGCAGCTGCATGCGCCGGATGCACATGGGCTGAACGGGCACGTGATGAACGGTGCGAACGGCGTAGAAGATGTGCTTCCGTCGCCCTCCTCGAGTGATGCCACGCCGAGTAAGAGCCTTGATCAGGTGAAAAAGATGTGTAGTTTTCACAGCAGGTATGTGTTTGTCTTTGGGAAAGATCATGTCGATATGATATCGATTCTATATAAGTCTATGTAGTTCTTTTGTATGATGATTTGATCCTCTTCAACTCATCTCAAAACTTGTGTTCTATTTCCGTCTTAGACACCGCTAAGCTCTTTGCCTGCTCTCTTTGCATCCGGATGCATCGAACCGAAAGCTCTTTGCACCACCATCAGGAGCCACGAAAGCAGTCATGGGCGAAGTCAAGACCTGGGTGGCACGGGAGGATCCTCCAACTTCATGGGTTATGGCAAGAGTACTCCGGGCCTGCCTGGTTTGGTCGAGGAGCCACCTGCTGTTTGGTAGAAGGATGGGGAGGTGTTGATGGTATGGTGAGTGGGTGGTTTTAATAGATGTGTTAGATGGTGTGGTGAGAAATCATCACAATCCGCTGTGACAAGTACTTGATGGTCACTCGCGACACCTCTGCAGGAACGTGGCGAACCTCTCGCTCGAAGGGTGTTCTCCGAACCTCTCGATGTTCTCTCGCGCCCGCCAGGACGAGCTGGGCTCTCCCTCGCGGTCGCCCTACCCGTCCGTGCAGACGGAGGGCTGCGGCTCGTATCCCAGTGACTTCGAAAGCGACTCCGGCGCGCCGAACGCTGCGGTGGAACACTCGGAGCACTCCTCGGATCAAGAGATGGATGCCCAGCGTGGAATGAGAGGATGAGAGAGGATCAGTAGAAGCAATACGCAAAGATCTCATGAAAGCAGGTTCCGAAAACCTGTAGATACAAGTATGGCACTGGTATCGCACCTGTTGAACAACTTCTGCTAAGCAGTTTTTTGCAAGCGGTGTTGTACCTCTAGGATTGAATCCTTTGAAATCGGGCATCTTCCCCAGCCTGGTGATACCTACAGTCAACTCACCCGCCGAGTCAATGGATCTTCATGACAGCTGGCCGAGTCCACCCGGACCATCCTTAAACATCGAGAAAGACCGTAGAACGGGCAGTCGCTTCAGCCGTTCATCACTGACCTGAAAAGCAGAAGCCGTAGATCCAGTGATGAAGCGCACATCCATCAACTGTGCAAGAAATGAGCCCTATTATAATGTCCCACATGTTCAACTGGTCAGATCAGCAATCTTTGCCAGTCAGTATGCCTTCCAATAGTCTTCTACACAGTGAGACGAAACCTTGCTGATCAGCAGTGTTTGCCGAGGACTTCCTGGAAGACCTCCAGGTCGTTGAAGACGAGACCTTCCCAGACTCCTCCGTCACACGCAATGAGTGGCGGAACACCGAGTGGCGTCAGCTCTTGGCTGAAGCGGAAGCTCTCTTGGTGCCCTTGCCAGAGGCGAAATGCCGTTGAAATACTGGTGCAGTGGCTGAGTGTCCAATTGAACTGTACATTATTATATAACTTACGATTACATATTTACTTTTTGAAGGGGGTGGGTAGGGTTCGGAATCAAATTAGAGGATAGTAAAGGAGGTGAAGAGATGGTGCTGATAGCAAAGGAAAGTACAACCTTGAAGTCACGTACGAAATCCAGGATGCGTTAGATTTCATGATGATTGAATCATACATGTTGATAGAGTCCAGACCATCCCATGTGACCACAATAGTTCTGACCCATCCCATGGAGTTCTGCGCCATCCGGATGGGCGTGGGCGAACGTCAGGTGCATTGGGGCGAAGAGACGCAGAAGTTGCGCCACACGCCGCCCGGAAGATCCCGACCTGTTGGGGGTTGGTGAGGTTTTCTCAACTGTCCGGGATGAGCTCTGAGAGTTTGAGTGAAATCCCAATGTCATCCTGTTGGTGGAGTGAGCTTGAAGCTGTTTTGAAGGTGCTGTCTTGGCGTTTGTACTTATCGCACCGCTTTTCATGCAGAGCAAATAGGAAAGAAGAAGAGAGTTGTTTCTGACGTCCGTTTTGGATTTATGACTTCAATATCTATGATGACTGGGGGCAGAAAGGTGGTGGTGTCGCGAGCAGGTCTCAGAACACCTTTGAGTGAGTGCACTGTGTATTTCTAGCTCAACTATCACATGAGCAGTCACAAAATTCACCTCTGTGCACCAGTGGTCCTTAGCATTCACACTCCTTCAATCCCCACTGGACGAGCCAATCCCAGACCCCCGTAGCCTGTCGGGGAGACCGCGTGGAGGTCGGGGGGGACTGCTCCACCTCTCGGGCCCCGTGGTGGGTGAGGTGGGGCCACCAAGGCTTTCGTCCTCCTTGGGCGGTGACGAGAAGGTGGACCAGGTGGGAATTGGGTGGACCAGGTCGTCGTGATCGGTGAGGTTGGGGAACGAGGTCTTTGCTCCGGTCGATCAAAGCCAGCATTCGAAACGGCCGTGGTTTCACACACCTTTTCGCCCATCCAAATGACCCATGTACTGTATACCTGGTACCTGGTCACTCCAGTCCCATGGATGCGAGACATGATCCTCAGATCAAGACACTGCATTGCGAGTAAGGGTCCAGGTCGAGGGCTTGCCATCACCACCAGAATGAGAAATGCCCCTGAACCATCCTGTACCGAGCAAAGTGAGAAAGGAGGATGATTTGACTCTTGGTGAGACTTCGAGATTCTGCTCGACAAGACCGAAAAAAGGGATTCATCAATCAGAAGACTTCAAATATATGTGAGTGTTCCCTAGAATAGGGCGACCCCGGCCCCCCCCAATGGATGTTCATCGATGTTCCTTGAACTTGGAGGACACATGAGGACACCCTTTTTTTTCAAGACATCCGCATCCCAGACACTCCGTGGGACTGGAATATGTTGTAGGCCACCCCTATGACCCTTTTCAAGCACGACAATACATGCCAGTCCCATCGATGGTTTTTCTTTGGTATGTCCAATCTCGGCCCTCGACTCTCGGCCCGGAATTGGAAGATTGCTCGATTGCTGTCACTTGCTTGGATGAGAAGTGCACGAGGATGGCGGTTCCCAGAGTTTCCCTTGGGACATATACCCTACACATCCTCAAACATCCCGGATCCTCCCTTTTCACTGGAGTCTCAACGTGGGCGCCTTGGCTGGTTGCGCAGCCCAACCAGCCAGCGCCGTTTCAACCGCTCGCACCGGCGAGGCCCTGAACTTCCTTCGGGATCGGCGTCCCTTGGGCGACACCATGGAGGCCGATGAGCTGCTCCTCCAGGCGAGGCGTTGGTCGCCCGAGTCACCGGAAGGCCCGAGTCACCGTGACCTTGGCGGTGGGGGGTTGCATAGGTCAAAGGTCTGCCTGGCGTGACCTATAGAACAGGTTAGGTAGAAGGAGGCGGTTTCAGCAGGTTGAGAAAATGCTGCAGCTGTGGCGTGGAGCATGGAGGGATGTTCAGGTGTAGCTTGTGGGTACATCCGATGGACCTTCCAAGTCTCGAGAATCTTGATTTAGAGGACTCGAGAGATGGGTGGAGAGCTTGGAAGCTCTAGTATGGCCGTGCCACAGGTCGAGCTGATGGACCTGCTGGGGGAGGAAGGCATTCAAAATCTGCCTCTCCTGGAGCGGTTGCAGCACTTGGACCAGGAAGCGGAGAGAAACGGTCATCTCAGTGATGAGATCCAATGACGCCGCCACGTGTGGGGACGGCATTCCGCCTTTTGAGTGGCAGGAGTGGCTGTTTTTGGCGCCGGGGTGTTTTGGGAGTTTGAAAGGGCAAATCCCACTGGTTCCCGGACAAACATGTTCGTTCAGCGTCCGATTTTCCAGCTATACAGGTTTGGCGGGAGACCACTAGGGTTAACTAGCACCAGCAGCACAAGATTCGCCTGTAAAGTGCCATACATGGCAAGGGCAAGCAGCACAGCTGTCTTTTGGTGTGCCCCGGCTGCCACGGTCCACCGGGCGAGTCAAATCCCATCTTCGTTGATGTACCTCTCATGCAACGGTACGTGCCAAAGGCACGACCACGGCCGGACAGTACCGCCGCCCGTTCCGCAGCCTCACCCGTGAACGCAGTGAACGGGCGAGGAAGCAAAAATGGCGAGGACTCACACCTGAATATGCTACTATATAAGTGACTCCAGGGATAGTTGTTTGCATCATGACTCCAACGTGGCTGCAAGCGTGTTGGAACCAACGAGAGGAGCAGGTACACGTACGTACAGTGTATTTTGCCTTAGAGGCCCCGAACGAGCTTTAGCTGTGAGGTGAGGTTGGAAGGTGCCTTTCCTTGACCATGCAGGTTATATAATTTATAGAAGATTGTAGAAGTATATGACTTTATGTATAAATATGTGACATATCAAAAAAACATATATATATATATATTATATAATGTTTGCGTTTAAAATATATACTCATGGTTTCACTGCCACTTACTGCCAGGTAAGATGGTTGGCAGCCTATACCAGCTTCTAGGTATCACTGCAGTCATCTCCATTCATCGTTCGCACCGACTCTCCCCAGGTCCACACAGAGACTACTCACCATCTAAGAAGTTCCTGTGTGGGGGGCTATTGAGGTTGCAGATGCTGAAAAACATCCAGTCGCCCCATCCGAGGTTTGGACACTCAAAAGGTTGGATCAACTGTGTACTCTCAGACCGGACTGAATGGGACTGGTCGATCTGACCGGCAGTCTTTCACGGCGGCCTGGGGTGGTGGATTTCAGGGGTCAATGAAGGTCAATACTGTATGCCATACATGGATGGTTTGGGTCTCTATGTTCTGTACCCTTTGTGGGACCCTCGCTTCGGTGTTTCAACATGGTTTCAACGCGAACAGACGGACGCGAACAGACATGTGAGATTGCCATTGTCGAGGCGAGCAACCTGCGCCGCGCCATGTATATAGTTTCTACACCCGTCTCCGTCCAAGTGAAGATTTCCCATCATGACATGGTTGTTACACTTTGGGTATCCCCTCACCCAGAACATTCCAAACATATTGATAAACATTCATGTAGGATCTTGATCAATAACCCCCCCCCATTAGGATTGAAAGACCTCTTCATATTGATTAAGGTCCTACATTCAAAGTCATACTTTCTGAGTCTGCATTCTCGATTACTGGGTGAGATCTTGGACTTAAACAGGAAGACCCCCACCTTGAGTATATCGTGTTGGCTCGCTCTCTATGTTGGTATTGCAGAATTTCTAGGATCAAATTCCCAGCGTTTGATTTCAGCGTTTTGTCTTCTCTTTTTTGGGGAAGGGAATCGTTTTTAGCATGTTGTGTTTGGAATGTTTGGATGGAGGTCCTTCTTGTTGGAAAGATCATGCTTTGACCTCTTTTAGGGTCAGTAATTTTGGAGGTGACCTCCAGGTGCAGGAGCTTTTGACCCACAACTAATTGAGTATTAGAAAGCAATTTGAACAATGTGTATCTAACGATGATCTCGTAGGTCTTATTCTACTGGTGTACTTTAAGAGGGAGAATCCGTAACCCATGGGTGGATTGGTCTATTTCCCGAACCTTCCGAGCGGATGGAACTGAGAGATATTTAAACAGGTAGCTAGTTTAATACACCCATGATGTGATTTATGTTTGGCTTTGAAGATCTTGAACGGACACGACGAGTCTCTAGCTGGCTATGCCAAGTCTCACAGGCCCAAAAAGGAGTCCCGTCGCGTTGAGTCCGTGGGAGAGGGCCGAAGGAACGGAGAAGGAATGCAAGGCCCCCCCCATGCAGGGGTTGGTAGGTCCTTTCTTGATGTGAGGGGATATAAGTTGAGAATTCGACTCCACCTTGATTGGATGACATCAGCAATTCACAATCACTTGGAGTCTGCGAGCCTTGCAGCATGCGTCTGACAGGAAGGAGATGGCTCAAGTGCTATTCCTCTCAGAACCCTCCCAGAATCCAAATGACACTCACTAGAAGAGACCGACGTTAAAAAAAACAAAACTTTGAAAACCACGCCCCGGTTTGTAGAGGAACATCGTCTTCCAGTGTGGGTCCATGCCGGTCGCCCGGTTCCATGTGGGTCTCTTCCCCGGTGTAGTTCACTGATTACTGCCCTTCATGACGAAGCTCAGCGGATCATCTGGCTTTTCGAGCTGAGGTTTCGCCACAACGTCCCGAAAGCAGCACGGCCGGTGCTGGCGGAGCCGCAAGCTCTGGAGGCGGATCTCAGTAAACGTCACTCTACATCAGACCATCGAACTGGAAGAGGCGCCCGACATTTCTCCCATATTTATGACCCATCCAGTCATATCCAATCCAAGTTCATCAGAATTTGTTCATATGAGCTGAGCAACTACTTTTATTTAGGCTTTACTAAAGTAGTCTATGGCATGCTCTATTTGCTTGTCGCTTGTGAACGAGATAGGGCCCCCACATAAACGAGAAACTTTTGCTTGATGACACTAAAGTAGTCTGAACGAGATTGTGTGATCAGCGACTAAAGGAGTCTGAACGAGATACTGTGACATGACCTCCTACTTAAGTAGTCTAAACGAGATAGGGTCCCCACATAATATATACAGTGTATTTGAGTTTAGTACCAAATAAATTCCGCCGCACAATATGTAAAAATAGTCCAGTTCCATGGATGGTTTGGGATCACATGGATGTGCCATGGCCCCATCCGTGGTTTCGATGCTCGGATGCTGGCAGTTTCTCTGTGAGTCGGTGCGGTTGACCAGTCTTATCACGGTCAACCCGCCGGAATCGTCCCTACATCCGCCCGTGATGTCAGACGTTAGTAACGTCCATGTCGTTACGTCTGCCGGTGGCTGACACTGACCGACTGTCAACAAGTCTCGTTTTGGTCGTAGAAATACCCAAAGAGCGGCATGAAGCGACCGGGGTGAAAGACGTGAAGAGTGGATGATCATGACCCCACTCGGTGACAGCTGACACATGTTGGGGGGGGGTTGAATTGAATGCGAAACAAGTGGATTCCCCAATGAAAAGGGGGGCTGGAACTTGAGATGATTCAGTGGCGAAGGTGATGGACTGTATTCGGATTGTTTAGGATCTTCATGTGTACTCCCCAAAGAGGACAAACCTTGTAGTACTTGTATGTAGTTTGACTTTGTGAACATACCAAGTGTAACAAAACCAACACACCAAAGTCACCAAAGGAATCGGCTTCGGCAACAGCTCTTTGGCTCACGCCCTCAAACAAAGTCGGCCCGGCTAAGGTGTCCTGCCCGTAAGGACCTCCCAGAAAGGACACCTGGCAGGACACCTGCAGGTGCCTCGCAAAGTCAACCAGGATGTGAGGTTATAATTGTAAGTTTAGAAAGACTCCTTCGCCTACGTGTCAATAAAGAGTATCACCATTACCCAGACACTCCGTGGGACTGGAACATTCTATAGGCCACATAGAAGCAATAACATATATATATATATATTCCATCATACAATGACACCTTTTCAACCAGCCCTGGCCGGAGTCAGGACTGCCGTGTTTTCCACCGTTGGTCTTTACGTCGTCGACCAATCGGCTCCACAGGTCTCCGGCTGTGGTTTAGGCGACGCATGGCCCGCAAGCCCCCAGTCGCCGCCTGGCACCGTTTTGAGTGCGGCGTTGGTTTCAGATGGACTTCTCTAGTCATGGGAACTTTTGGGAGATTGTCAAGCTGTCGTTTGTTTCCAGATGTGGGCTGAAGTTTGGATCAATATTTTATTGGATCAATCGTTGACTGTAGTTACTTCACGGTCAAGGTTCTTTTTGTTGGATGTTGGGTGTTTCTGCCAAAACACGAGACAACAATTCGTCGCCATTACTTTGTCATCCGAGTGATTTGCTGTGTTTATGCATGAGGACACGTTTGTGTGAATAGGCGTTCTTGGCCGGGGTGATAGTATGCAATATATATACCAGCACCTACAAAGGGGTTACCAACGGAAGCCCCTACACTACACCACTAAGGGCACCTCCAGACAAGACACCCCGAAAGAAGGTCCAGGGAGAATGTCATTCAATATACAGCATGAGTCTCCTAGTGCCCATGAACCAGTGGAACATCCATGGCCTGCCCCTGGCCATCCCTTCATGTGTTTTTGCCGAGTCGTTGTTTGGCCGTTCGGAACCCCCCTTCACACCTCCTTTGCACCAGCTTGTGGCAAAGCGTTTTCGACTGCCTCGGAAGTGGTGGGGAACGTTGTAGTCAAAGGTCTGGACATTGTATCCACTCCACGCCATACCGTGGAACACCGTGGAACATAGCCTCCCACCTGCCAAGACGAGTGGATCTGACATCTTGACATGCCCGGGATGCAGCTCCTCACAATTCCATTCACAATAGACAGTTGACCCTGGAGATTGTCCCCTCAATCCCAGCAAACTCCAATGTTGACCGTGCTGAGCACGGTCCACGCAGCGGTCCACGCAGGGTCCCGGTCGCTGCATCGTTGGTTCTTCAGGTGTGGGGGCACGCCGCCCACCCGGCGGCCAAGAGGGCATGGTCAGGAGATGCAGATGGAAGACGTGGAGGTGACGCGGAGGGCGTGGTCGTTGAAGTTTGGACATCTGCTTTTGAGGTTCAGAGAGATTGAGTTGGAGATCTTGGAGAATTGGCGTTGAAGGGGCTGATTCGATTTGGATGAGGTTTATTATGGGCCGTTACGCTGTTACGCCGTTGGCGGCCGTTTCACCGAGGGAAGATTCTCTCGTGGTGGTTGTCTCGTTGGCTTCGCTTTGGTTGGGTCTATATGGGGATAGTACGTCAAAACCTACGCATAGAAAGCTCTGTGAAATCCATTGGAACCAAAAGAAGCCATATGGGGATGGTTCGTGACCCACCTGTAGCCCAACCAGTCCACCCTTTGCCGTGAAAAAAAGAATGACCTTCCGTAGGTCGCTAGGTCAACCGTGGTGCTATGAGCCACAGCCATATCCCAGAGGCATAGACTCCAGAAAATGGCCAGGGGTGGTTGAGAAGGGTACGGCTATGGCATATGGCTTGGGGGTGTTCCAGAAATGGATTGGCTTGGGCTTGGTTGGTATATCCCCAAAGCAGACTGAATGGTGCAACTTGCGTCGGAGTTGCGGACGGGTGACCTGCTGAGCCATACCACCTGGACACATCTGGACACAAGAGGATAAGTCAGGAAGAAAACGCATCGTTTGGTCGAGCTGGCTTGAAGATGGAGAAGTTTCAATTACTTATGTCACAATATATGTCCCCACACGTTATGACCGTCATCACCCGGACCAGCCGAAACGGGGGTGTTTTGCCTCAAAGCGGACGTGGGAGTCGTGGGAGGAGTGACCCGACTGTGCCACCGCACTGCTCGACCCAGGTGGACGACCATGTGCTTCACCCCAACTTCCGCCGTGGAGACGCCACGCCTCCCCAGGCCGGAAGAGGTCGGTGAGGAGAGGACGGAGTGAGGAGGGGACGGAGAGGTCAGAAGAGAGGAGTGAGACATCATATATATTGGAAATTCACCTTGAGGTCTTGTTCTGTAAGAATAGAATGGAGACTTTGAATATAGATAGCTCCCTCAAAACGAGTTCACTTTGCACAAAATCATCGGTGTTTTACTCGTCTATTTTGTGGCGTGGTTGTGGCGTTTTCGTTGAGCTTTGAACCCTAGTGTTTTCCCATGGTTAAGAGATCCCTTTCCAACCTCGGATCCATTTGGATCACCGGTCTTTGGTGAAACCTGGTTCACTTCTGTACGTACGCAGAGGATTCGAGTCGCCCAATGTGGGCGAGGCAACCTGGTCGCTTGTACATATTTGGGAAGTGACCTGATCAGTGATCAATGATTTTTTCCACTCGTTGGGCACCGCCCGCCAGTGTAGCAGCGCTTTGTTTTGGCCACTCCACGGCAGGAACTCCAGGTTTCAGAAGCAAGCGGGCATTCCTTCGTTCCCCCGAGTCGCCGACTGCCACCGGCCACATCGCCACATCGCCACACAGGTCATTGTGACCCGCTCCCATGGCGCGAGCCGCGCCAGCGTGGGCTCCCGCGGCTCTGGTGGAGCTGCGCACCCGAGGGAAGGTGTGCGGCACACGGGCGGCGAGAGGATGCCGTGGCTGGGCGGCAGGGTGTGGAGGGAGGAGATGCTCAGTGTGTTGCAAGGTAATTAAGTGGGTTGTGCTATTGTTTAGATGAATTTTGCATTGCTATATAGTATCGCTATTTTGTGTTCACCAATAAAGTCGGATGGCACGAAGCATGAGGTTTCTTTTGTGAAAGAAGAAGCACAGTAGGATGGCACAGGTTCACACTTTGAGACTCACCAACCCAAGATCCAGCGATCCAGCAAGAAGAGCGAAGCGATGAGTAGGATTAAAAGCAAGGAATGAACCCAGCGTTCTGAACGGTGAAGGCGTGCCTTCTTTTTTGGGAGAAATCAGATTCAAGGGGCAACAAAACTAACTGCTGAAGCTGTGTTGGGGGGGTGGTATGGTGTAGTTGCCAGCCTCCCTTGTTGTCCTGTTTGTAGATGCTAGTCCTGGTCGCACCTGACACTGGGGGAGGAGGGGCTTTACGAAATTGTTGTCCACGGTGTGCTTCTGTAGAACTTTTTGAATCCTAAACCATGAAACATCAGGTAAATGTTTAACTCCTCACACAGTCACACAGGCTGCCGAGTGGAACCAGGTTCATTCCCACCAGAAACACGGAACCACTCATGTAAAAACCAGCGTTTCGACCACGATTTGTCTCGCTTTCGACGTTTCTTGGGACCTTTACTCTTCGGACAAAAAGACACAAAAACACACCCAAAACCCGTGAAGCGCCCCTTCTGACCCCTTGGGACCGTCGGAGCCGGGGGACCGGTAAGCGAGCCCCGAGCCGGGGAGCGGGGACGTCCCGAGGTTTCCCACGTCTTTGGACGTTGACTTCCTGAGCCTCTTCGCGTCGTAGCGGATCGCAGCCAGATGCGGAGTGCGTGACGGTGAGGTTGGTGACGTGGTTGCGACTGGAGTTCAGATGTGCATGGGGCAGTTACTGTAACACTTCTATGTAAGGAACCAGAAACCCCTCTAGGACTAGGGTTGAAGCTTGATGTTTTCTTTCAAACCAGCGCAGTCACTGGTAGCTGGATCCACCTGGCGGTTGATTGAAGCCTAAAGAGTCTCAGCAAGCTGAAGTCTGAGGAATGTCCTTGTGCCGCCAAATTTTGAGATTGGTTTGTAACCATGGGTCAGCTGGACAAGGGCACCTATGAAACAACCATACATAAAGTGTGTTATTTGGGATGGCAGCAAGAGACATTGTTGAGGAATCACGGGTATGGGTGTACCAAAAAGCCACCAAGGAGTACAGTAGTTCTCGGTTGCAGAAACAAGACAAGAAGACCTCCTGAACATTGGAGAGCAAGCCTAACGAACGTGTAGTTGAAGGTTCTACAACATCACCCCAACGAAGACAGGACACCTAAAGTTGCATCTTCCATGTGGAGGTTTCTTCAGGTTTTGCACAACCCAGAAAAAAACAAAACACAACTGGATCCCCAGCATGACAGATATGAACTTTTTAACCAATTGAAGGGGCTCTTGTTTGTGGGTCTATTAGGGCAGGTGTTCGCAAATTTCTAGCAGATAAAGAACGTCTGTTTTCTGACCTGCACAAGTCAGTGACGAGGGAGACAGCGAGATCACAGACCTAAATGGCAAGCAATTTGCTCCTGAACGATACTCCAGAGGCTTCTACCCCTGGGCCCTGCGCTTGTCATATCCTCGCAATACATGAGTCACTTGAAGACATATCCAAGAAGGAGCGGCCATCTCACCGTTCGGTCAGTCCATTGGCACAAGCAGTTTAAACAAGGGTCGCATTTGAGTTCCGCTTTGGAGTCAGGCGAGTCAGGCTAGTCAAGTTGAACAAAGAACTTGCTGCAATCGTTCGTTCTGGGGGGGGCTGCCTTTGACAAGGGAGTTGTTTTTATTCGCTTGGCCCGACGGAGATCAAGTGGAATCCGACGCAGCATCGGGGGTCGGAGAAGCGGCCCTGTCCGGATGTGTCCTGATTCGTCAGAGAACGTAACTTTAGTCTGTCCGATGGTCTTTGCAGTGGAAGGACAACAATCACCCCATTGACCAGGAAACTTCGGTGTTGGGGGCAAGAGACAAATATACTGTTACTAAGGCAGTTGGAGTAACCCAGTTTATATAAATATATATAGGATATAATGGTGCTAGATCAGGTTGACAGTAGCTGGTGCAAAGCCCCTCATGTACCAAGGCTTTTGCACTGTCCAGGCTGAAGGAAGGAAGTGCTGGCTTATTAGACCCGTCCGTACTCCTATTTCGCACATCCCTTGGGTCTCGATTGCTGGCTCATTCGCCCTCTCCCTTTGTCTCGGAGTGTTCGGGGGAATGCTACATTCGGTCGAAGAACAGAATGTCACCCTTTCCCTTTCAAAAAAGGAGCGCGTGTTATTGTTTTTCCCCAAGAGGCTGTCGAGGTGACGGGCAATTTGACTCACCAGCATTCCCAGACCATCCATGAAAACTAGAATAGTCCGAAGATCCGCGGTTGAAGTTGATCTACTGTGGTTCAAAGCCAAGCACCCAAAGCCAGGAACATCCCCACACTTTCCCTGCGCTTGGTAGAGCTGTTTGCATGGGAGGTTGAACTAGAGTCATGCAGATCCTTCAGGGTCGCAGATCGTCTCAAAAGATCAAATGCTTGGTGAAGGAGTGATGGTAGTTTGTCAACATCAGTGATGCGAAGCTTGGTGCAGATCCTTCCACTGGTCGAGTCCGGGCTGCCGGAAAACTCTAGACTGAAAGCAAACAAGTATGGGTGTTATGGTTGGGAGCAGTGTTGGGGGCTCAGGCCCAGGTGAAGTGTTTCTGGCTCTCAATTTTACAGTGTTTACACCCCTTCTACCAGTGAAGGGTCACTTTTGCTGCGAGCGTTTGCGACGCAGAATGCCATGTTGGATGTATGGCAACCATGAAGACTGAAGAAGAACTGAGACGTGGCCCTGTTCCACCAAGCCATGTTTGGGAGGAGGCGCACGTCTGCTCAACGTACAGCAACCTGCTGACACATTCACCGCACCCATCCACCCCCAAAAAAAAACGCCGCGACTTCGCGTCCATGTCATCATGGTCATCATGGGCCGGCAGGGATGGGTAGAGTGACTTTGATGACTAGTAGCGATGCCCTTGTTACTACAGGGTTGCACACAATGACATAGGCATATAAAGGGCACAAAGGTAGAAAAACGCGCTTTTGTATACATGTAACACAACCTACAGCCAGACATATCCTCCACAAAGGTAGAAAAGTTTGGTTGATGCCGTGATGCCCATTAATTGTATAGCCAACTATTTCACTGCTAGCGCCATACCTCCTCACGGGCTGCTTTTCGAGAAACTAAATCTAGGTGATGGCCACCGCGTCCGCAGCGCGCCTGCAGCGCGTTCGCAGCGCGCTGGGCTCAACAAGACTATATTTATTGAAGGACACGGCCAGTATTTTACAGTTCGTTTTTGCAAAGCAGTCATAGTTTGATGGCATTGGTAAATGCGCGAGTGCGTTCGCAGCGCGCTGGGCTAAACAAGACACTATAGTAACGTATTGAAGGACACAGCCAATATTTTTTAACAGCCCGTATTTGCAAAGCAGTCATATATAGTTTGATGGCATTGGTGAATGCACGAGCGCGTCCGCAGCGCGTCCGCAGCGCGTCCGCGCAGCGCGCTTGCAGCGCGCTCGTAGCGCGCCCGCAGCGCGCTGGGCTAAACAAGACTATGAAGCATGCACACAGCCAGTATAGTATAAAAGAGCAGTCATATTTCAATTTGAATGGCATTGGTGAATGCACGAGCGCGTCCGCAGCGCGTCCGCAGCGCGCCCGCAGCGCGTCCACAGCACGTCCGCGCAGCGCGCTCGCAGCGCGCTCGTAGCGCGCCCGCAGCGCGCTTGCAGCGCGCTCGCAGCGCGCTCGCAGCGCGCTGCGGCGCTGCGCGTTTATGTATTCTTAATGACACAGCCACTATATTTGCATACATTTGTCGCATTGGCGAATGCACGAGCGCGTCCGCAGAGCGTTTGGGCACGAATATAGCGTAAACATGGCTTTTCCTTATTCGATGCAAATAGCGCAACCCAAAGCAGGCCACGCATAGAGCGCTGGAGCCAAGTCCACATAATAACTTTCCTTTTTCAAGGCTGGCCTTCAAGCGCTCCACCGACCCCCCCTCCTCTGCCTTCTTAACGCGGACCCGTTTAAGCTTGCCGTTTTCGGGCAAAAACCGCATCTTTGAGCATCGAAATTGCGTAAACATGGCCCGCTTAAGCCCAAACCCGCGTCTTTTAGCATCGAAATTGCGTAAACATGGCCCGCTTAAGGACCAAATTGCGTAGCCATGGCCCGCTTAAGGACCAAACCCGCGTCTTTGAGCATCGAAATTGCGTAAACATGGCCCGCTTAAGCCCAAACCCGCGTCTTTTAGCATCGAAATTGCGTAAACATGGCCCGCTTAAGGACGTCTTTGAGCATCAAAATTGCGTAAACATAGCCCGCTCAAGGCCGAGACCCTTGCCCTTTTCGATGCAAATAGCGCTGCCCTAAGCAGGCCACGCGTAGAGCACCTGACCCCCGGGGGGTCTGCGCAGCAGGGCCGGAGCCAAGTCCACATGATAACTTTCCTCATTCGGGGCTGGCCTTCAAGCGCTCCACCGACCCCCCCCCCCTTCTGCCTTCTTAACCCGGACCCGTTTAAGCTTTCCGTTTTCGGGCAAAAACCGCATCTTTGAGCATCGAAATTGCGTAAACATGGCCCGCTTAAGCCCAAACCCGCGTCTTTTAGCATCGAAATTGCGTAAACGTGGCCCGCTTAAGGATCAAATTGCGAAGCCATGGCCCGCTTAATTAAGCCCAAACCCGCGTCTTTTAGCATCGAAATTGCGTAAACATGGCCCGCTTAAGGACCAAACCCGCGTCTTTTAGCATCGAAATTGCATAAACATGGCCCGCTTAAGGACCAAACCCGCGTCCTTTAGCATCGAAATTGCGTAAACATGGCCCGCTTAAGCCCACACATGGCCCGCTTAAGCCCAAACCCGCGTCTTTGAGCATCGAAATTGCGTAAACATGGCCCGCTTAAGCTCAAACCCGCGTGTTTTAGCATCGAAATTGCATAAACATTGCCCACTTAAGGACCAAACCCGCGTCTTTTAGCATCGAAATTGTGTAAACATGGCCCGCTTAAGGACCAAACCCGCGTCTTTGAGCATCGAAATTGCATAAACGTGGCCCGCTTAAGAACCAAACCCGCGTCTTTGAGCATCGAAATTGCGTAAACATGGCCCGCCTATAAGGACCACACCCGCGTCTTGACTAGATTTAAAAATCTTACAGTAACAATCCCTGCCAGCACAGTGCTCAGCAAAAAATATTACTTTGTTTTGCAATATTCTTGCGATCCCTGCCAGCACAGCCAAAACTTGACTACTTTCAAAAAGAATACTCAATGCCTTCAGCCAAAACTTGACTAGCTTCAAAAACTTTACTTTGTCACAATCCCTGCCAGCACAGAGCTCTTCAGCCAAAACTTACTAGTTTCAGAAGCTTTCAACGAGGCCAGGAGCACACTGCTCCTGGCCTCGTTGATTATCGTAAAGGAACCGTTTGTACTTAGTACATATTTCATTGTGTTTTGTAAGTTGATTTGTTGCTCGACTCGTCAACTTATCGTAGAGGGCTTTGTTGAACTTTCATTTTGTCTGCAAGTTCACTGCAACTTCACTCGTGGCTTCACTCGTGGATGCCCCCGTGAAAACACTTTTGGTTCACTCATACTTTTACCCGTTGGTGAATTTTGTTCAAAATCATGTCTAGTCACTTTTGAGTCATTTTATTTTTATTTGAGTAATTCCTAATCAGTTTAAATCCTATTTGTGACAACTTTATACTTAAACATGATTCACTATGATCAAAACAATTTTAAACATGCAAAAAAATGACTAGCCAGAGTGCCCTGGAAGGGTGCCCATCTCAACCCTCAACTTTGATTTGGTGAAAACATGGCCCGCTTGAGGACCAAACCCGGGAGCATCGAAATTGCATAAGCATGACCCGCTTAAGCCCCGCGTCTTTGAGCATCGGAATTGCGTAAACATGGCCCGCTTAAGGACCAAACCCGCGTCTTTTAG